CCCAAACCCTATTCTAATTATCAAGGCACCTATATTATAGTACCCTTATAGTATCCCTTAAAGATCCCCCTTTAAGGAACTCTTTAAAGGAAGCCCTTATATGAAGCCCAAGAAGCCCGAGCAAGGCCCAAAAATTACCCGAAGTTCTGGGGAGACCCGTTGGACAGCCATGGATGGCGAAGCCTGGAGCAAAGGAGACCTTTTCTCACCGTCCCTGGTCCGTGGGTTTAGGTTTTAGGGTTTAGGGCTCCTTAAAGGGATCTATAGGGTTCCTTATAAAGGGATCTATAGGGTCTAGGGTTTAGGTTTTAGGGTTTACCTTAAGCCGGAAAAACCTACCTTTTTAGGGTTCCTTACTATGATTTCTTTATATAAGTCCTTAAAAAGGTAGGTTATTCCGGCTTAAGGTAGGGTTTAGGCCCTAAACCCTAAACCGTCGTGATGGAAGTGGCAGCCGATGCAGAAGGGTGTACTTCTTAGTGTGCCACATGTAGTACGTAGTATGTACTAGCAACAATCGAAGCCGGAGCAGTAGCACTGGCAGTTAGATTTATTCATGAGATTATAGCATCTTGTAGTGTTCCTCTGTTTCTTCTGTAGGCCTTACAGCAACGATCCATCACGCCATGTGAAATTATGTGAAATCCTCAACCCCAAATACTTAAGCCGTAACCAGCTAGAGTCATCACCTCAATGAAAACAGTGGCACCTGAAGAGTTCCAGCACCGCCCAGGGTCACCAACTTATTCTTTGCAATCACACTTCCGAAGACCGTGCGGATTGAGAACAGACGGCCGCTCGACATAGAAGTTTCAGAAGCGAAGGGGCCGTCATACAGAATATCTTCTTCTGTGGTCTACAGGGTATGCGCACATTATACGTTCATGAATATCATGTCATGTTCTTCTTTAGTATGTGATGGTTCTTCTGCTACCCTGAACCCGAACCCCCCAAACACTAAATCCTAAACCCCGAAACCCTGCTGTCTGATGTGAAGGGAGCGGTCCGCATTTTGCTAGTCTCACGCCGACCCCGCACCGAGAACCTCGCCTGGCATGTCCGATGTGTGAGAGCGTAAGCCCCTAAACCCTAAATCCTAAACCCTATAAGCCCCTAGACCCTTAAACCCTAAATCCTAAACCCCAAGCCCATAGACCCCTAAACCATAAACCTCTAGAGCCCCAAACCCTAAATAACCCTAAATCCTACAAGTGTATTCTTCCAACCTCCAGCAGGAGCCTGAAGAGTAGAGCCTTGCTGGAAAGGAACCTGTAAGTCCCATGAGAGGGTTTAGGGGTTTTAGGTTGCTGGGTTTTGGGTTGATTTTTTTGATTTTGGGGTTTTAGGTTTTAGGGTTTCAGGGTTTCAGGATATTGGGGTTTGAGGTTTTCAGGGCTTGACGGTTGATGTACCGAATGCCTTGGAGAGAGAGACAGAGAGACAGAGAGAGAGAGAGAGAGAGAGGTTTCAGGGTTTAGGGGTTGAAGGTTTGGGGTTTTCCGGTTTTTAGGTTTCGAGGTTTAGGAGTTTAGGGTTCAAGTACATGAAGGTCACACATGTGCCGGGCGCCGGAAGCGCACCACCGGCTCATGGAAGAGGGCTGGTGTATGCTGCTGTAGTCTTAGAGTTTTGCGGAATTCGGAAATTGAAAGTGTGGGGGGGGGGGGGGGGGGGGGGGGGGGGGTGAAGACTTGAGGTGAGCGTGCTTCGACATGAAGTACCAACACCCACTTACTGTCTACATTGCCCGTGCGTGAAGACCGTGCTTGTGACATGCTGGTAGTGAAGACAGCACAGTGCAGACTTTGTGCGTGTCCGTGTCGCAGCTGTGGTTGCTGATTCAGACGTTGATCCTTTGTGCTACTGTAGCCATGTTTCCATGTTTCCGCGTTGTTACTACTGACGGTTTCTGTGGCCGGACGACCCCCCTGCTGTTGTTGGTGTTGGTGTTGGTGTTGGTGTTGGTGTTGGTGTTGGTGTTGGTGTTGGTGTTGGTGTTGGTGGTGGTGGTGGTGGTGGTGGTGGTGGTGGTGGTGGTTCGTTTCGTTTTACACGCCGCTAAGGAGGTCCTAGCTGTGCGACAGGATAGATAGGTCAGGCTTTAAGCCCGGTCGCATAGCGACGCATCAGAGGTTGATGCACCATCCTGAGAAGCAGAGCTCACTGCCCCGCCCCGAAGGGCCCGTTAAGCAGTGAGTGAAGACAGCGTTCCAGAATGCAAAATGCGAAGTTGTACATATGATTGCACGGGAATACAGAGACAAAGCACCATACGACTCATAGGAGAGGGAATACCACAGATTATGGCTAATCGTCAAGTCACACTCAGTCGGTACTCGCAGCGTGGTGCAGGAGCAAAAAGCCGCGGCGTCGTAGCTGATCTTGGCACTTCGCCGGCAGGCGATCCACTGCTCTGGCGTGGTATGCCACTAGTACCATCCGGTCCGCTCCTCCCCATGGGTAGGTGGCATGCAATGTGGTAGGGCACAGCTGGATGTATGGTCGCGACACATTTCTCAGGATACCGCAGGGTCCGTTCTCCTCCAACCGTACTGATCCACCGACGTCCGCCTGCCATAACTGTCCGCCCTTCCATCGATTGCACGGGATGAGCAGGTTCGAAGTGCCAGGTGCATTCCCAGTGTCACGATGCACATAATGTAAAGTGTTGACCAAAAATGCGCAACTGCTGAACCTATGATCCTCCTTAGCGCCACGAACCACTGAGGCAAGCCACGTAGTAAGCCATGGAAAAAGACCGGTGTTGGTCTGTACTCCCCTGAGTCCTCCGCCTCCAATCGAATACGCACCTGTAAGAAACACTCTTTGAAGTCCGCCGGCGGCGCCATCAGAGGTTGAGTTTTGCCGTCGCTTCACCTGTGACTGCTCCGGAAGTAGAGCAGCCAGTGCACAAAAGTCTTGGATGCTGCACGAGCCTCGGCGGCAGACGTTATACGCCAAGTATTCCACCTCCTTCGCACCAGGATCTGGCGCTCCCGGAAGGGGAGCATCCGTGGGTAACCGGAGTGGATAAGCAAGAGCGGCCTCTTCCTGGCTAATATTCCATAGATCACTCCATACCGTGGTGGGCTCTATGATGGCAACTGAAACATCCGAGTCTGAGTCAGGGTCCCGAGCCGCGGGGTCCAAGTCCTGATCGGTGTTGATGCAGTGGTCATCTCCAGCATGGGAGGCCATATCCATGTGCGGTGAAAGCGCTGCTGACGGTAGCATTGAGGGTGTAATAGGAGCAGGAGCTCCAGCTTCCGGTGTAGTTCTGGATGCCCTCGAACGAGATCGAGAGCGTAGCCGCAGAGGTATTCGAGAGCCTTCCCAGAAACGCTCTTCCCATAAGCGCTCCCCGGAATCCATCCTGATCTCATCGTGTGATGCACCCTGGGGGCTCAAGCTCGCAGAAGCCAGTGAACAACGAGATGGGGTAGGTGACGGCGGATCATCATCAGGGTCCTGGTAAGTGCCAAACGCCATGCCCAGTATGGATGGTTGTTCCAGGTCCCAGACATCTTGAGGCACACCATCCGGTTTTCGTGGTAGCATTCTTTTTTTTTTTGTTTACTACAGGATCACCATACAAGAGAAAAGTTTGCAAGCCGAGGCACCAATCCTGTGTGGGTCCAGCGAGGATCAATGTTAAAGACCGGGGGATGTAGACTACCCGTGGGACCTGTGGGGAAGAGTGCTTTAGGGCAAACCCCATTGATAACCACTTCGGCCGAACGATGGTGTAGGGGGGTGTAGGGTGATGCTCATGCGGTCGGCGCGGATTCTGAGAATCTTAGGGTGTGGCACAGAATCGGGGATTATGGGTTCACCGTAGGCATTGCTGGGGTGACAAAGGGGGCAATAACAACTGCGTGGGACCTAAGTGCTGGTACCTAAATCCGTGACTTGATGGATGCAGCCAGCCAACGGCAGCGCAAGTACGCGTCACTGCTCAGGCACACTAGGTAATGCATGGGGCGATGCACTAAGGTCTGGGAAAGCGCCCATAGCTCATCTGGCCAAACACAGCGTCTCAAGCCCTTTGTTTGTTCGAGCTCGGAGCGCCAACGCCATCCCCGCCCCAGTCATCTTCAGCAGATGAGCCCCTCACAACCTGGAAAGAAGGTGGGGGCAGTGGGGAAGAGGAAAGCAAGGCAGCTACACGCGCTAGAACATCCCCATGGCACACCTGTGTCAGTTGTGCCCCGTGCGCCGGCATATCAAAAGATACACCTGGCGCGAGGCATAGGGTGTGCGGGAACTCGGTTCGGCAGCCGGCCAGGGTCGTGGCATGGTATTGTCATCAAAAAGCCAGGCCTGAGCCAGGTCGTGAACGACTGCTGTGTAGTGACCCTGTTCGACTTGGGGGCCGTGATGCAGAATGGCAGCACACACCCGATATAGGATATTACTGGACTCCAGTCCTCCGTCCGAGAATAATGGAACATGAACGTCCAAACCCCAACTGATAAGACCTGTGTGCTTGCGTATCCCCCGGCGGGTTTCAGTGAACCTGGAGAGGCGGAGAATAAGCACAGTAGGCGGCTGGCTAAGAGCATGAATGCTATGCTGATAGTGCCATCCATGCAACAAGGACTGAACCGTATGCGCCCCCCCCCTGGAGGGGAGGTCTACAGAGACGGACTCCAAACAGCTGCCACCGTCCTGTATCATAATCCTGCCGAGCTCCTGGCCTCTAGCCTCCCACGCTCCAGAGAACGGTTGTGAACCTAGGAGGGGGATGATGTGGGACAGTAATTCCGCTGCATCATGCTGTCGAGTGGGCTGCGCCCAGTTATGAAGTATGCGTACCCAAGGTTGACACCGCAGGAGGTGTAACGGAGAGCCCTCATGGGTGGTCAGCAGCTGCAGCGCCCTGACGCCCAATGTGGACATGTCTACAAGGAGTGAGGGGGCACAGGTGAGCGTCCAAGTGAGGCAGACCGCTACTGAATTAAGGTAGCAAACATTGGCATGATTGGCAAGCACTAAGCGCCTCAGCGAAGGAGTTTCTGAATCGCCCGAATCAAGGGTGGGCGGCCGTACCCCTCCTGCCGAAAGGAGGTGCCGATGATCTGGAACAATGCTAGCCCTCGGAGTCGTTCCAACTGCTGGTATAGCTCCTCGGAGCCCTTGGCTCGCAGTCCCACATCCGCCTGGAAAGCCACTGTGCCCTGCATATCGGCATGTAGCTCCCTCCTGGCCGTGAAGCGAGTGATCGTATCGCCGTTGATCAGCTTGAGCAGTGTCTCCAGCGATTCCTGAGCCTGGGTCTGCGTAAGCGCCTGTCTCTCCGGATCGATCTCCAGGGATTGATGCGTGGGGTTCCAGCGTTGATAGTTCCAGCATCCCGCCTCCGACATCCATCCACTTTTGAGGGCGTAGGCCTTGTTCTCCTGGTTCATCTGTGCATGCTTGTCCTTGAGGTGTGCAATGATTCCCCAGAACAAGGCCACTCGAAGGGAGACCCGGGTCGGAGAGATGGTCTCCGCTTGGGCCGCATCGTGCCACTTGGTGGCCAACTCCGCCAGCATCGGCAGGATCGAATGGTCGCCTGAGCGGACCCAGAAGACCCACCCCGTCGCTCGACGAAGCACATTGATCGAGTCGCCTTGCATGATCACCGCTCTCGCAACCATCTGCAAGAGCTCTCCGTCCTGGTCCTGATCCTGGTCCTCGAAGCCACCCTGCCAAGGTCCCCTGGGTCGGTTCTGTGGCGGTCGACCGCGACCTTGGAAGCCCTTGCCCCTGCCACCCAGCTGAAACATCCCTCTGCCCACCTTGTTCACGCGGCCGTCCGTGGACGATTGAGCTGGTGCTTGTGCTCCCCTCTTCCCGATCACCGCTCCGAAGGACTCCTGTAGCTGAGACAGTACATCCTCCGTGGCCTGGGTTTTCTGAGCTCCGGCCATCGCTAGAAGGAAAAAGTATGCTCAAGAGGCAGCTTTGCCACAGATTTACGCAGTGCGATAGATGTTGTCTGGGGTGTCTGTGTGAAGTGCTGCAGTATAGGCAGGGATTCATAGCGATCCCAACACGTGGCATGAGGCGTTCAGCTTGAGCCGCCGCACTTTGAAACAAGGTAGAGTGGATGCTGCGATAATGATTGCGAAGTGCCGTAGGGGAAGCCATCCATTGACCGCACAAGCCACAGTGACTTTTAAGTTGGGCTTGCAGCGAGTGACGCAAAAGGGCCGAGACCCCATTCTGTTGGAGGACACTCCGGACCTGCACCAGAAGAGAACATTCAGATGTGATAGTGCCAGCATGGTCGGGCACGCGTGGCACTGCCGCTGGAGCCTCGCAAATCATACTTTGTCCCCTCGAGTCATCCGCCACTGGTCGACCTAAAGCGGATGGAGATGAGACATCAGGTGCGGCAGGGGTCGATGCATCCTCCACAGAGGCAGACGCCCTGTGAGTGGCGGGTAACGGCATCTGGGGACAACTCCAGGAGCTTATATGTTTGGCTAACACTTCCCATCGAGTGAAAGCGTGCTTACAGTGGGCGCAGGTAGGGACCCCATCTACGGAGTGCGTTGCTCGATCAAATGCTTGAGGCTCAATTTTGATCTTGTGCGAGCGAGCCATGTGAAGTTTCAGAGCTTTCCGCGTGTCCAAAATCCTGGGGCATTGCGGACACTGAAAGAGCTCCGTCGACCCGGTGGGGGCCGGTGACGGTGCAGGTGGTGGTAGTGGTGGAGGTGGTGGAACCATTTTATGTGGTCCTGGGAACTCTTCTGTGATGTGTGACGCAGAGGTTGCCTCAGGCTCCGGCATAGGTGCCTGCGCATCCAGCCGATCAGCGTCCACCTGATTGTGATCCACAGGGGGCGATGGCGGCGGAGCATGGATGGACCCGGGGGCAGGGCCGGCATCGCCATCAGTAGCTGTGGGTTCCGCAAGGCCTGCAGCTAGAAAACGATTCCACGGGTGTTCAAAGGGCATGACATGTACATCATCAGGTTCCTGTCTGCCGAAAGAAGCCTCAAAGGTGCGGCGAAGTGCAGCCCTTGGGAGTTGTACCTGGAGACGTTCTGCCAAATGGACGTCGGATTCATGTGTCAGATGAGCTGGACATCGAGCAATACCCCGTAAATGCTTCATAAGTAGGGTCTGCAACGTGCAATGATGTTCCTCCGTCAGACCACAAGTTTCCAAACCGTACGCCAAACTAGGCCAGACTGTGGCTCTCCAAAGACGAAGCCTATGATGCAGCGTCAGTGTGCGATATGCGTGAAGGACCCCTCTAAGGCGAGCGTGCGTGGCTTTGGCCTGTTGCATGCGTTTGCGGAGAGTGGCGGCAGCTGAGGATGCATATGTGGTCACAGCGCCTAAGTAGTCAGCCTGTTTAACGAGTGGTAGGTATTCTTCCCCCGTTTTAACATGGATTCGAAGTAGGCGGCCCTCGGCTGTCTGTTTAGTCAACTTCTGTAGTGCTGTACCCCTCTGTGCGCCGTCCATGGTAAGGATGGCTTGCGCCTTGGTGGCGTGGACACTCATACCATGTGCTCGTAGTGTGGATATGATGAACCCGATACTAGCACATAACTGCTCCAGCCCCGCGTAGCCCCGGAAAAGGTCCCCTAAGTGGAAGTCATCCGCGTACAGGGTAAGGCAGCGAGATACCCAGGCGTCAGATAGGCGACTCGCAATACGTTTAGTGACAAGAGTCATAAAGCAGGCGAACAGTAGGGGACTGGCAGGACAGCCTTGCTTGACGCCCCTGGTTGTGGGGATGTCAGCATGCAGCTGATCTATGTAAAGGTCATACTTGCACTGTGAGAGCCAAGACATGAGAAGCTCGGCAGGCGCACCTGAAATGCCTGCATCGTGCAGTGCCTCGGCCACCAGGTGGCGAGGCACCATATCAAATGCAGATGAGAGATCTAAGCACACCTGCAGCCCCCCTTGCAGGGGGGGAGGCTTCACCCCTAGACGTTTCAGGTGAGGATCCCTCGTGCTGGGGGTGCGCTGTTCCCGAACCGCAGAGTTATGTGCAAATACTCGTTTAAGTGCATCTTGAGTGGATCTCCCGCCGATGTAAGCAAACTGGGGACTGTTCCGGATGTAGGTTTCTAAGTCGAACCTGACTTTGGACATGACCATCGCGATCGTGGCTTTGCCCAGTGCGTCCAGTAGCCCTACGGGTCTGAAGTCTTTGGGTGAGGAGCCGGGTTTATTGGGCTTAAGTAGAAGAGCCAATGTGGCGGATGTCCAGGGTTCGGGCGGTGTGAGGGGAGCCGCACTCCATCGACTATTCAAGATCCGGGTGAGGTGTGGAGAGATCATGTCCGAGCATAAGCGCCAGGCCGCCCCGGGTACCGTGCCTGGGGCGCCGGCCTTCCTGGCCGGCAGTTTATCCAAGAAATGCTGGACCTCTGGCGTCTCAACACAGCGGTTCAGCATCCGGACTACTGGGGAGAGCCAGGGGCTGGGCAGAGTTGCCATGGTTAAAGACCTGAAGGAAATGTGTGCGCATCACTTCCAGTTCCTCTGTTGGTGAAAGGATTTGGCCTCCCTTGTTCATCTGGAACTTCCGAAAGCGTCCCTTCGGTGCTAGTTTATCGATGAGCTGATAGAAGAGACGAGATTGGCCGGAACTGATGGCCTGCTCTGCCTCCGTCAGCAGGTGTTGCCTCCTTGCTCGACGAAGTGTTTTGCCTTGTTGCTGTGCACCCCGATGCATGCGCAAGTACTTCATACTGTGGTACCAGCAGCGGAACAAGGCCTGCTTGCAATATGCTGCACCTGGGCGCTGAGCCCATCGCCTCAAGAGGCGGAGGTGTCCCCACATGTGCGCAGCGTACTGCTGGAGAGTACCGTCCTGCCAGGGACGAGGGCCCTGGACCGGAGGTTTTCGGGGGAAGTGCTTAACAGCAATAGCATACACAGCGTCGTGCAAACCCTGAAGCTCCTGACCTACCTGGGGGAGGCATGATTGCAGCTCCTGTCGGAAGGAGCTGACACGCTCATCGGCTTGGCCTGCCAATGCGTCTGCAATGGCATGTCTATGGATCTGCAAGGTGCGTTGCGGGGTTCCTGTGCGGTGCCATGGGCACCAGTGCACAGGGATGCGTGCAAAGACCGGGTAATGTTTGGGTCCGCCTCGCCACGCCCCCACCGGATACTCATGCAGTGGGCGGGCCATGCGGGAGAATCTGTCGGCCATATCACATCGGATGAGTAGAAAGTCAATGTGGGAGCGCTGGGAACCCCAGGCAAAGGTATGTGGGGAGCCAGAGTCAGCAAAGGTATTGATGGCACACAGACCAAGACCGACTAGTAGTGCCTGGAAGTCTTCCTGATCCAGGGCCCAATTGGGCGGCGGGGGCAGCAGGCCTGTGCCCACATGCGGCTTGGCCGTGGTGCATGAAGTGTTAAAGTCACCTCCTATGATCATGACACTCCTCCTGGGAATCAGTTGGATGAGTTTATGAAGTTGATCCAAGGCTTGGCTACGCAGTCTACGTACATGATCAGTGCCCCTCCAGGTGTGCTGATAAAACACCACAAGGTCACAGGGTGTACCTTTGTGATGAAATTGTGCGCGCAACAACCTGCCTGGAAGAGGTTCGGCGTAGCGGAGCGAACCTGGGTTGATCAGACGCCGGGCAATAATGATCATGACGCCCCCCTGTTTGAAGTCCTGCGCTGAAGATCCGCTGTGGATGAAGACATATTGGCTAGTTTCCCAACTGCTGCTGAACCTCCACTTCGTTTCTTGAAGAAACAGGACATCAATGGGGTTGTGATGGATGTGGACCAACAATTCATCGAAGAACCCTCCTCCCAAGCCACCTACGTTCCATGTCATGACCCTCAGGTGCTGGTGGCTCGGCGGGGGGTCAGCACCCCTCCCAGTGTGTCTACGCGCTTGAAGCGGTGTGTGTTGAGGCGGATCTGTCGCGGGGGGATTCGCGGACCCCGAGACTGATGCTTCCTGAGCTAAGGTTCTGGCCGACTCAGCGTCGTACCATCGACCTTTGTACCAGGCACCACCTGTCCGTATGATGCGTCGGTGAACTCTCTGTAACGAACGCTTGACGATTCTCTGCTTCTGCAAGGACGGAAGAGGCGACCTGCAAGTCGCAACCTGTGCTCCCAGAGGCTTCGCGGGTGCGTTGCCTGGAGCCGCGGGAGACGTGTCCGCTCCCCCACTGACCTGGGAAGCCAGTGGAACCCTCGCGTCTGATGTAGAGACCGCTCCAGCTGCGTGTACATGTAAGAAGTACAGCCCTACACGAGCTAGTGATCTGCAAATGGATGGGTCTCTACACCTCCCGGACTTGGGACCGGGAGAGCCCGACCATTGGTCGGGACGACGGCGCGCTGCCGTCAATGGGCTGTGTGTGTATACGGGGGGTCGTGGGGAATGATCAGGGCATGGGTTTAGGGGGGTGTGGGATCCCCTAGTTGCCAATGCAGGGCAAACCATACCACACTCGAACGAATGCACTGGGGTGACCGGCACGATCCAGGGTCGTGGGAGCCATCCTCGAACATGCTGCAGCCATCGGCCTGAGAGTGAGGAGGAACCGCCCCAGTTGCGCAGTGTGGTCATACACAGGCGAGAGGCAGTGTAGTATGTGCGATATAGTCGAGCGGGCAGGCCACTACCGAAAAGGCTAGTGCAACGTGGACTGCATCGGGTGAGGTGGGTCCTATATCTCCTAATGCGCATGAGTGCACACCAGCCTCTCCAAGGAGAGCGCACCCAAGGGTGGTGCAGGAAACTACCACATTTAAGGAGCGTTGGGATGTACGGACATGTGCTCAGCTGAGATTCAAGCCTTGATCGGCTGCTCGCGGCAGCGCCTGTGGCATCATGCTCAAAGCGGGCGTGAGTGGATCCTAATCCCAAAGTGCGAGAAAACCAGAGTACTAAGGGGAAGCGTGCAGCTTGAAAGCCGGCGACGGCCTGGCAGTCGCTTGTCGCGGCAGGCAGCTCCTGAGGTACCCCAATGTGCGACGCTTGGCGCAATTGCAGAACAGAAAGCTGCTGGAAGGGGCCATGCGGGAGGTTCAACCCCATGCTAAGGGATCTAAGGTGGCGGGGCCGAAAACACCAAAAGAGCCCGACGGGCAAGTCCAGTGAATCAATCCCAATCCCAATCCCTGTGCACCATCGCATATATGCCACCGAGCGCTTCCTCTCTCGCTCGCACTCCTGTACACGCCCCCGCACAATTTGGAGCATTGGGGTCCATGCGAAGGCTTGCGGTGGCGTGCCCGCCTCGATCATTGCTTCGCCCTCAGCGAGACGTGCCTCGTAGGTTTCCAGCAACGCCACCCGGAATATCACAGAAACCTCCGCGAAGGGCGGAGTTCTGGGGGCCGATTCCGCCACAGCAGGGACCGCAGGGGCATTGAGTACTTCCGCATCAACGCTCACCGCAGGTGTGTCCTCTAGGTCCAGGTCCCATGTCGGTGGTACCTCGGTGGTGATCGCGTCGATGGCCTGGCTCTCGGAAACGGTTACGAGGGGCGGAATGTCGATCTGCCGAGGCTCCAATGCTGGGGAGTCGAGTCGAGTGCCATCCATTCTAGGGCGTTTCTTAGGTCGAGGGCGATCTGTGCCAGAGGTGGCCCGCGAACCATAGAACGCGGATTGCTGCTGCTGCAGTGACGGGGGAGAGCCAGCCGGCCAACTTCGATGCTCAGAAAACGAAGGGGCCATGTCCGCAGCTTCGACCTCTGCAAGCTGATCAAGAGTGAGGTCGGTGCCCGGTGTGGCGCCCACGGCACGCGGATACTCAAGGACCAATGTATGTCGCGTACCCCTGGCCCATGCACCCGATGAAGAGCTAGACCCGAAGCGACCATCGGCCCGAGCCTGCGCGTAGGGACGTCCCATCTGCGATGCCAGCGCCATAAAAGCGTCCGGTGCCATCTCTCTCTGCAATACCTGCCGGTCCGTGGAGTCTGTGCGTGAGACCGTGTTGTATAGAGTGATGGGACGCGTAGAAGCACCGGTACCGGCGTCCTCGTGCGGAGATTCCGTAGCCAGGGATTCTGAGCTGGTACTATCATCGACCAAGCAAACCGGGATGGTCTCAGAGCCCACTGCCTCCAGCTCTTGTCTCCGTCGTGCTTGGCGCACACGCCTTGGCGGCCTAGCTGCTTCCCGCTCGCCGTCTCTCGGCCTTCTGCGGCGCGGACCTCTACGCCCGCGCGGTCGACCTCTGGCCATGGTTAATCGCCGGCAGTCCCCTAAAACCCTGAAGGAGTATGCCTTCGTATGGTCATCGAGCTGAGCCTGAACCCTACCGTTCTGGAAGGGGCAGTGCCAGAGTGGCCTAGGTGTCATGGGCTGGGCGAAGTCCGAAAAACCTAACCTGACGTAAGCCCCACTCAGAGCCCGAACTTCCGGCATGGCATTGGTTGCTGTAATGCTGTGCGTGAAATCATGACACTGTTGGCTGAGACAGGCAGGCAAAGCGCACTGAAGACAGTAGACAGCTCCTGCATCAGCCGCGGCGATGCAAGTCGACGGGCGGCCAGAGGCAGACTGTACCTGCGGATATGGTATGGACCCAGGACGTTGCACCCTATATGGGGCGAGACTAAACCGAACCGGGGGGGTGGTGGCGCACATGGCAGGCTTGTGGCGTGGACGGAAGCAACCATGGCAAGCTAGCCGGAATGCATGTGTTGACTGAAGCCTAGGAGTTGAGGTGGTAATGTTCTCGGATGGGGCGCAGCTACCGGCGGAGGTAAACCTACCAGCCGGTACCGGAATGCACAGACTAATCCATGGAATTGAGGTCCAAGAAGCAACCGGATGTAGAGGTCGAGGTGGGTCGCCGAGGATGTTCCGACACCAAACGCCTGGCGTGGGCCTTTGCGTCCGCCTGGGTCTCTCCCTGATGCGAGGATCTCGAGGGGGTCGTAGTGAACTGAATCGGTGTACGCATGCCCTTGTATTCCAGTGTAAGTCCCTGCAGTGGTCCAGTAGGTTTGTCTGCGGTTCCCCTATCCAACCAGAGCTGCGCCGTGGTGCGTGAACGGTCAGCAATGCCAGAATGAGTCGTAGAAGAAGCCATATGGACATGCAGGGTGTATCCAGAAGTACAAGCCACAATGCTCAGTGCAAGTCAGAGGCGCAGGGAGATATGGCGTTCAATCGGTCAGCCCTGAACCTAGTGGGAAAGAGGGGGAAAGAGGGGAGAGAGAGGGAACACACACAACCAAAAGAGTCCCAGGGCACTCGTAACTCTCTTGGGCCCAGACGCTTTGGTGGTGGTGGTGGTGGTGGTGGTGGTGGTGGTGGTGGTGGTGGTGGTGGTGGTGGTGGTGGTGGTTGTGGTGGTGGTGGTGGTGGTGATGGTGGTGGTGGTGGTGGTGGTGGTGGCGGTGCGGTGTCGGTGGCGGTGGCGGTGGCGCTGGCGCTGGGGGTGGCGCTGGCGCTGGGGCTGGGGCTGGGGCTGGGGCTGGGGCTGGAGCTGGTGCTGGTGCTGGTGCTGGGGCTGGTGCTGGTGCTGGGGCTGGGGCTGGTGCTGGTGCTGGTGCTGGTGCTGGTGCTGGAGCTGGTGCTGGTGCTGGTGCTGGTGCTGGTGCTGGTGCTGTTGCTGTTGCTGTTGCTGTTGCTGTTACTGCTGCCCTGCTGTTGCTATTGCTGTCGCTTTTGCCGCTGCTGTTGCTGCGTTGGCTTCTTGTCGTTGTTGTTGTTGGCGGCGGCGGTGGTGGTGTTGGTGTTATTGCTGGTTTTGCTGCTGTTGCTGTTGTGGCTGCTGCTGGCGGTGGTGTTTTGGTGCTGTTGTTGTCGGTGGTGGCGGTAAGGGTGATGTTAGTGGAACGACCGTTCGACCGCTCATTTGGAGCAGCAGATTCCCGCACATCTTTTATGACCGGAGACCCGCGGAGGGTGTATGTATATCAGCGCCAGCAGCATGGGCATAGACAATTGCTGGCACAGCGTGCGCCCCAGTCAGTAGGCACGGAGCAAGTCTCAAGCATGATTTAATTGGAGCATTGATCACAGGTTTGCATGTTTCTCAAGCTGCAGCACCTGGGTAATCTATGTACACCCCTGCCTAAGAAGCCTCCATGCGACGAAAAGGAGGTTCAAAGGCTCCCCAGACTCAGTTGTTCGTACATTCAGGGCTGCATGCATCGCGGCGTCGCAGTGACAAGGAGTTAAGGCCTTTGCTCCGGGTGTTTGGCAGTCGAGCTCCTCGAACTAATGCCGGGGCATGCCTAGTTGTAGTCCCAATACCACTTAGGCCGCCGCTGCTTCCCCTAAACCATATATATATATATATATATGGGAGTTTCCAAAACTTAGGGGTTGGGATCCTGTTCAGAAGGATCCTACTCTTCAGGGTATTATATTAGGGTGCCCGATTTTCGGAGACCCCCCATAGAAGCCCTATGCTCTGAACCTCCTTACCGAGGCTCGGATGGCTGATGTGCATCCTCAAGGTCACCACACTGGTGTGGTCTGCGGTGTTCCTCTTCTGGTCCTCCTGCAGCAGTAATACCAGTGGCTCTCGTGCTTTGCGGCCGTAGTTTGGGGGCTTTGACAAACAGTATGCGGCAAGACTGTAGTAATTATATACAGTATAGTGTGTTTTGCTGCAGGTTTGAGGGTATCGTGTGTATCAGTATAAGTATATGTTACAAAGGTATGGGGACAAAAGGACACTTTTGCTGTTTATCAGGCCCCCATATTAGCTGTACTGGTGACAGCACAGGATTCAACATGCTATCGGCACGTCATCTGCAATCATTGTTGCTCGTATTGTTGCCATGGCTTTCAACGAACCAATCAGTGGCTGCTGCTGTGATGCTCCTATGTCCTAGCAGGCAAGCTATTATAGGTTGTTTGAGAGAGAGGATATGGATTCCGTTTGGGTATCGTTTAGGCTTGTGACCGCCGGGTCTTGGAATGACTGGAGTGGAGCAAAATAAGGATTTCTGTGGGGAGAAATCCGTGAGCGGGGTCTGTGAGCAGAGGAAACGCCTGTGAGAGGAGCCTGTGAGAAACCTGTACGCAGCTGGGAAATCTCCTAGACTGGGCTGTGAGAAACCTGTAAGCAGCTGGGGTTTGGCATTCCCATGATTCCACGCCATCGGCGGCCACAAGTTTAAGCAGTCTGTCCGTATAGAGGCCAAGTTGTTACCAGTTCCGCTGATGTTGCGTTATCCTCGCATGGAGGAGTGGTGGGCAACACTTAAGTCTTCGTTCACCATTCTCAGGAGCCTCTCACAGCACCAGGCTGTTCTTTTATTTTGTGTAGGACATTTAGCTACACCGCCGGAAACTACGGGCCAGCGTAAACAACCCCAGCTACAACTATAAGGGCAACCGCGGCGAAGAGGACCAACACAACCGCAACGACAAGACAGCCAGGGACAGCCACAGGCATGTTTGTCGCTGCCCTTGCAGAAGCCTGACCATGATGATAGGGACGACGAGAGGAGGCGGTCCGGAAGCGAAGCGCAATGAACCGGTAGTTGCACTCCGTGTCTGGGTAGGAGGAACAAGACGACGAGGATCACAACTACCACAAGAAATGTCACCACCTTGGTTTGGCTTTCTTGCCTGAGTATTCGTAGTCAACCTCCCTCCTTTATCTAACCATTGCACGGAACAGCCTAAAGCCGACACCCAACTCCACACACCGCACAGCCGAAAGAATTCACAGCACAAGAGTATTGACTCCCAGCTAGTCCCTGCAGCCACGAAAATCTAAGTGCACCCGAGGATGCGAGCCTACAGCAACAGCGTCGTCCCTTCTGGGGGAAGCTTCCTGGAGCTGTGGATTGAGCCAGCGGCGGAGGTCCCGGCGGCTACTAGACCGAACTGGATAGTTCGGGGTACAGTGGGTGTGTGGGTAGGTTAGGGGGCTGGTGGGGTTCTCGAACGTAGGAGCCCTTTGAGAGGATGTCTTTTTTTTATAATCAAAGAATGATGCACTCGCAGACTCTTCGGAAGTTCGAAAAGTTCAGGAGGGATCCGAAGATTGGGAACAGCAGAACAGCAGCAACAACAACAACAACAACACCAACACCACCACCACCAACAACAACAACAACCACAACAACCACAACAACCACAACAACCACAACAACCACACCAACAACAGCCGCAACAACCACCGCCACATCGACGACGACGACAACGACAACGACAACGACAACAACACCAACAACACCAACAACAGCAAGAACAACATCAACAACAGCAACAACAATAACACCAACAGCAACAGCAACAACAACAGCAGCAGCAGCAACAACAACAACAACGACAACAGCAACGACATCACCACCACCACCACCACCACCACCACCACCACCACCACAACCACCACCACCACCACCACCACCACCACCACCACCACCACCACCACCACCGCACCAACAACACTAATAGCAACAATGTTAGCAATAACAATAACAACTTCATGTAAATGAAGAACAACAGCAACAACAACAACAACATCACCAACAACAACAGCAACAATAATTTAATAACAATAACAAGAACACAGCAACAGCAACAGCAACGTGGTCAACAGCGGTACCCAGAGAAAGCTTCAGTTACACCAACCTCTAGAAGAAGTAAACCCTAAACCCTAAACCCTATATATATATATATATATGTATATATATATATATATACTGTATGCCTCTCGGGTTCCAGCTTTGGGGGCTGCGAGTCTGCTGCCAGCACGAAACAGAAGACAGAAGCCCCACGACATACCAACATTATTCCTTTGCTGTTACTTTTACGGTTTAGGGCTGGGTTTAGGGCTTAGGGTATTATTATACATTATATGCCCTAATTATTGGGGTGGCTGGTTTTGTTGCTTACTCTTGGCATGACGGAACCCGTTACTGAGCAATATCCTGTAATGGTAGAGGTCCTCAGCAAAGGGTCGTAATTGAGTTTGTTTCCGAGACATATCAGACACATGATGCTCAGCGTCCCCGTGCCAATATCTGTTTCCCAAACCCTACAAAACAGTAGGTTATGACCCCTTAATTACTAATTAGAGGGCCTAACCCCTTTTCGGATCTCGACGTATATCATTTAGGGCCCCGAGGCTTGAGGTGTAGATATGAAGGAACCGTTTCGAGTGTACAGTAGTGCTTGCTGCTTTGGTGTCACAACGGACAGCCTGAATCCTGATAGAAACCATGTCATAATCATAAATCATGATTACTATGATTCTTACTATTCTTACTGCTACTGTTGAAATAACTTCTATTCTGCTTGTTAACAAAGTATTGGAATATGAGAGACATGCTGGAAGGCTGATGTTCACGACATGATGGAATCTTTGCCTGACCTCGAGACCCGCAAGATTGCCTATGTCTGCTAGCATGCGCTTTGCGCTTGTTGTAGCATTAGCTTCCTTGTGAAACTATGCAATACAGTACCAAAAAGGAGCCCCATTTGTGTTCCTGGCTTGCTGGGGATCCCTGTTAGCAAGCCCTGCGCCAGAAACCCGATTTAACACCCAAGCCCGTGAATCAAGAAACCCTAAACTAGGCGCTCAAACCTGAAACCGTCAACAAATACGACCCCTAAAGCTAAGCACTGAGAACAAATACCACAAACCCTAGGAAATTCGACGCCTGAAACCCTACAGAAACCAGTTACCCACAGAAAAGAATCGCTAAACTAGAGGGCCTCCAGTAATTTGTAAGTATCCTTTTGCATTTTCCGTTTTGGGGTTCCCTCAATACAATAGTAGAACAAGGGTGCCCCCCCATTATTACATAAAGGGCCTACTAGGGAACCTAGACGAGCTGAGGCAGACTCCAGCCTCAGCTACTGCACGGATCCGGCTGCCTGTCATTCTTAGATTGGGGGTTTTGTTTTGAGGACTTTAGGGGGTTCGGAAAGTCCGGCTGTAAGCCCACGGAAGGTCCCGAAGATTCTAAGATGTCATGGTGTTTGGGATTTAGGGCTTGTAGGTTTGTGTCCGAAGCCTCTTGCAAACCCTAAACCCTAAACCCTAACCCCGCAATAGGCAAAAAAAACCCTGCATTGCGGGCTTTGTCCTTGCTAGGTAGGAGGGAAAAAAACCGTTTGTGTAGGTTTCGGATATCAGTGTTTTAGGGTCGCGGGGTTTTGGACTTGTTGTTATCGAGGCTTTGGGCTGTGTAAGGGCTCATTGGCCCGAAGATTTCATGTGTAGGTTCAGTTCAGAGGCTTTCGACCCTGTGCTGTTTTTTTCGAGTTTTGTTGGTACCCTGTAGCTCTGAACTCAAGCCTTGCATGCATCCCAAAAACCTCAAAGCATCAAGCACCACCAAAAACAATAAGCCACAACCACCACCCCCCGCCCCCGCCAACAACAAGCACGAACAAAACAAAATAAAACCGAGCCCTAGATTCCTAGATCCACATCATGAAAAACACAAAGGCTTAGGAGGAGGAAGCTGCAGAGCTGAGGCTCAATACGACTACAACTACAGCGAGCGCTTCAGCTACAGAATGTCTGGCTGCGACTCTTGACCGTTGTCGTGGCCGCGGCCGTTTAAAGAAGTTTGGGCCCAAAAGCCTTAATATATGAGTCCCTAGACCCCTAGGGTTCGGAATCAAGAAAGCAAGGGCGCAATGCGTTCATCCCTCACTCAAGCTGTCAGGTTACAAGCCGTTCCCACCGTCAAGACGCCAATGGCAAGTCCAAGGGCTCTACAAGCCGAACTGTACTGTAAACCGCCCAAAGAGACCAAACAAAGCTCCACAAATCTCCACAAAGCTTACAATCTCCTCCTGAAGATCCAAGAGCCTGCTGTCTTAGGGGTTATACCCTATAATTAAGGGGTCATAACCTACTGTATCGCGGCAGGTTCAGTTTGTTTGGTGCTCAAGTGGTCGAAGTTCAATAAGCGACGCCGAAATCCTAAATCTTGAACCCTCAACCCTACACCCTAAACGTGTGTCTTGTGCGAGTGTGAGCGCCGAAACCCATAATTTCCTAAGCCCTAAACCCTTGAAGCCCTAAGCCGAGGAACACCTGCCCTTCGGCGAAAGCTACGTCAAGGGAGAAGCCACTTTGTTTTTTCCCACATCTCTGGACGATACCTACGTCATGCCGCTTGGATATTTCCCAGAGACTCCAATATCCCTTAACTGAGGGATGTACCCTATAAACTATATTACTATAGGGAACCTGCTGTAACTTAAGGCATATTCCTTAGTTAAGGGCTCTATGGGAGTCTCTAGCTTCAGAGGTCCCTAGGTTTTCAGGGGGTCCAGGGCTTAGCGATGTTGGGTAAAATCTTAAAGGGATGAGGGGCCAAGCTGAGGATGATTACAGGTCGTGATCTGGCATTCCACAGAGTTACAGGTACCCCAAAAGGGGACCTTAATTGGGGTTATGATACTTCTAAGATCTTATATAAGGCTTTAGAATAGCTACTTACGAAGTGGCAAGACTTGAGTCCAGCAAAAACAGCCAGGGTTTAGGATTTAGGGTGCACCGCCCTAGGGCCTCGCTGCCGGCATACACTGCAAGGCCGTGCTTTAAAAGGGTGCACCAAGATACGGGTTGATTCAGATCCTGCATGACCTTAAGGACCCTAAACTATGGGAATTATGGTATATTCCTTATTATGGGTAATGCAGGATTTATACCGTCAATCAACAGTATGTATAGGGTAATTACAGCTCCAGGTTTCGGGTTCAAGGCCCATAACACACACCGGCAAGTCTTCATTGGATCATTCTTTGGCCGAGTAATGCCCCTGCACAGAGTCGGGTGAACACTAAAGGCCGCGACGCAAGGATCTGGCTAGCCGCAAGTGGCAAAAAAGGGTGTAGGAATTAGGTCTAAGGGTTTGGTGTTGTAGCTTCAGAGTCTCGGAAGTCTTCTGGATCAACTCTGAACACTGACGGGTACCTTCGAGCCCGAAGTTCAATGTTCAAGCAGCTCGTGCTTATCGTGGCTAAGCTGAGCGCGGGTGTTGTACAATTAGGGATAGCAACCCCGCCCTTGTTTCTTGCTTTGTTATCCGGTTGTGAGACTAGGGTTTCGCGTGTCCTCGGTCAGAGTTTCATGAAAGGGGAGTTCGTTCACTGCCACGAGATGTCGAGCTTTATGTCCCTTCAGCTGTATCTTTCAATGTCAGATTTATTTTCGTCTCACATCGTTCCGGACTGTGTCGTTCAGAATATAGCTTAATTCTTCTAGCAAACAGTTTATTCAAGGGTCGCAATCCCCTGTACCGATGCAGTGGATACATAGACCAGAAGGTGCCGATATGGGGACCTTAGTTAAGGCCAAAATATACACTATATAGGTATATGAAGCCTTAGGCACCATGGTAGAACTGCTCGCAATTCTAAACGCCGCAACCCCCAAAGGTCGACTCGGAAACTCCCCCTAAACCCTAAACCCTAAACCCCTAAACCCTCAACCCTAAACCCTAAACCCTAAACCCCTAAACCCCGAAACCCTAAACCCTATAACCTAAACCCTAAACCCCTAAACCCCAAAGCCTTAAATCCTAAGCCCCCAAAACCCCAGAACCCTAGACTCCTACAGGGATCCTTAAGGGTTCCTTTAAAGGGATTTTTAGGGGTTCCTTTAAAGGGAACTCCAGAAAGTTGGAATATGGTTTCAGGTTAGGATACCCTATAATTTACCATAGAAGGGTTAGGATAATCATATTCCAACTTTCTGGCTTTTACCTTAAGCGCCTAGACCCGAAGCTGCATGGCAAGGACCTTCGGATCGGGCAAATGCTTCGACCATGTTAATGCATCGGCTGTGGCAGAAGCAGAAGCTGGGCGGTTTCGGGTTGAGGGTTTAGGGTTTGGGGTAGGTACCATACTGGACTATTTGTTTGTTTTTGTTTTTTTCTCAAAATCCTATTTGGTTGAGAAAGAACCCAAATGATCTGTGGGTTTTGGATGGCTTTGACATGGCAACCCAGGAACTGCTTTGCCAGCAAGCTCAAGGCACACTCTTTTATCTCAGGAGCCGGACGTCCAGCGCAGGAGCCAACCCTAAAACCCTAAAGTTGTAAGATTTGTTGCTGCATAGCTTGGGATGGCTTCCTGAAGTGTTTTTTTCATTTATTTGTTATAGTTTGTGTCATTCCCCCGTGTCGTTTTTTGTTGTTTTTGTCGTTGGAGTTGCCATTATTTTGTCATTACGGATTTCGTTGTCGTAAACAATTTCATGTGTCGTTCATTGTTCTTGTTAGAGGGAGGGAGGCTGGGGCACCAAACCGAAATTTACACATTTTTCCAGGTATTGCCAGTTGTTCACGGTTTAGGGTTTAGGGCTTAGGGTTTCATAGTTTTCGTGGGGCGCGGAGGGAGGGAGGGCGAATGACAGAAAAGACTGTAGCAATGATAGCCCGGAAAGCCACCAGACCAGCATGAAGAACTAGTTATTTGATGAAGTCCAAGGTTTAGAGGACCGGAATTCCTACATCCCTAACACCCAGAACCCTAACCCTCCCCCCAAAGCTTCAAACCCGATACCATACAACCCTAAACCCCTAAAGCCCTAAAGCGCAAAACCCTAAACCACAGGAGGGATAGCGTGTGAATGCCGAAGGCCTGGCGGCCTCAAAAGCATATAAGCAATTTTTTGGACAGGGATACTGTTTAGGGTTTAGGGTTTGGATAATTAGGATGCCATATGCGTCTCTCCATAATGAAGCCCAGTAAGGTAGGGACATCCATATAAACTGCTTATGCTTCTGTCCTTTGGGGGTCCCCTCAACCCTAAACCCTAGACCCCACACCCTAAAGCCCCCCTAAAGGCAGCGCTCCTTCTTTGCTGCTGTTCCGGAGAAGCAAAGGTTCCTCCTGACGCACGGGCTTCTAAATCTCACTTTGGCACATTTTATGCATGTATCAGGGGTACCTCAGATTGAAAGGGTTACTATAAGGGTACTATAAGGGTTCCGTTAAAGGGCTCTATAAGGGTTTGGAGTTTCCGAAAAGGGAAACCTTCTGTTGGGGTCCTTATAATAGGGGGATCCTACTATCTAGGGTACTGTACTATATTAGGGTCCCCTATTTTCGGAAACTCCCATGTCGCTTCTGGTCTCAGGGCTTATAGAAACATCAGTTTGGGACATAGTTTTGGAGTTCAGTGTTTACGGTTGAATTTGAGTTTAGGGTTGAGGGTTTTATGGTTTATTCAGGCTTTGGGTTTAGATGCGTGTAGGATTTCGCTTATGGTCCTGCGGAAAACAGAGGTGCCTGTGCATAAATTTCTGAAAGCGACGGGCCGTAAACAACGGTTGATGATATCAATCCTGCATTACCTTAAGGACCCGAAACTTCAGTATTTATGGTATAATCCTTCTTATGGGTACTGCAGGATTGATACCATCGGCCGTAAGAGCCAGGTTCTTGGCGAGCAACATGGGGGTTTTGGGCAATGATCGGATGCGTGGGAGCACCCGCTTCTCTTCGAACCAGCAGAGCTCTGATGGCCTCTCCTGGAATCTTACCTGGAGATCCAAAAAACCTATTGTTTTAGAGTTTAGACCATCTAGTTAAGGGATCATAATCTGCTATTTTCGAGGGTTTGGGGCTTCAGGTACTTGAGAAGTTTTGGGATAATCTTATCCCCCGTGGAGTGCCGTAGAACGGAAAGTTGACACTTTTGTGAGCTATGCGGTCAGCAACTCAGGAGTGACATGCAAGATGAAGGGATCTTGACTGTTATCCAAGACGACCAGGGTCGCGAGTGCCTCATTGGCGGCTCCTCCCGTTTCCAACCCCAAGAATCCCGATTGGGAATTGGAGCATCTATAGAGGAGTGGCTGCGGTGTGCGGGGGTGGACTTGCAGTGGACTGATCCTGGGATCTCCGGCGGGTCTGCAGGCCCTGTCGCACGTCTGACCGGCTTGGAACTGGCAATCGAACTGGAGTACCGCAACACGCACAACATGAACTTCAAGGGAGTCGTGTGCTATGCCCGTGTACGAGCCATGCAGCGCTGGAATACCCGACCAGTTCTTCACTATGACTACAGCCGCAGCAACGGCGAGGAGCCCGGGCGAAGAATTGCTTAGGATACGGTGCAGTTAAAGCCCTTGTTTTGAGCCTTGCGACGAAACCACCACCACCAGCACCAGCACCGGCACCAGCAGACAGCAAACAGGACCAGCAGCAACCAAGCTATCGACGACAATAGTAACAACAACGCCAACGGAGAATCACATAATGAGGAAACAGCAAAAAATCACCGAGGGCGAGAGCAGGGGCGAGAGCAACAGCAAGGGCTAGAACAACAGCAGCTTACCACCATCCCCGCCCAGCACCAGCACCAGCACCAGCACCAGCCACCCAGCCACCCAGCCACCCAGCCACCCAGCCACCCAGCCACCCAGCCACCCAGCCACCCAGCCACCCGGCCACACCACCACCACCACCACCACCACCACCACCACCACCACCACCACCACCACCACCACCACCACCACCACCACCACCACCACCACCACCACCACCACCACCACGTCTTGGAACCGCGAGACTACAAGTGTGAAGTGTGCAATGCATTCAGAAAGAGGAATGCTGCAGCATGCAGCTTGCTGCAGCTTTAGGTTTATACGTAGACGAATGTGCGGTTTCGCTTTTTTGTCCTGTTTATTGTTGCTTTCAGTCTTGTTTAGTATGCTTGGCAAGCTGGGCCGTCCCTGTCACATCGACAAAGGAATCCGCTTATCGAGCGCGACTTCAACGGGGTGTGGAAGTCCGCTTCGCTGTACAAGGCCGACATGAGATCAGACGTGGAATGCCTTAGGTACGGCCCCCCATACAGTAAGAGTCTATAATAGGGCTACTATTACGGTCCTACTATATCTATATTTTGAATATTATTCCACTATTACTGAGTGGGGGCCGTACCCAAGGAATGCCCGCGTGTTCGACGTGTTGTCAACGTGCGACTCTTTTGCTGCACAGCCGGCACATCGTGATTGAAACAAGTGCAATATGGCGCAGAAGGATCCCGAGTGATGGACCGAAATTCCAGACCCTGATCAAACAATGTCGATCTGCTGAATGGGGTTGAACAAGACGTATTTACGCAAGGGCTCTTTTTCTTGTTTCAAAACCATTCCGTGATGTCACCTAGCGACATAATTCAGCAGTTTCCCGTCCACGCAAGTTTCTTTTTTAGTCACTTCGTACTTCGCGAGTTGCAGCTCCAGAACAAATACCAAAACCCGAAGCAGAAACCCGAAAGCGGTCACCCTATGCATGCCTTCTGCATGTAGGATGCTAAATATGAACCCCAAAAGGAACTGCTATGGAGCCCATGGGTAGCTTCGATGTGTATGACGAGCGCTTATAGTATCCCTTATAAACCCCCTTTTAAGGAACTCTTTAAAGAAACCCCTAAAGTAGGATCCTTATTATAAGGTACCCCAAGTTTTGGAAACTCCCTTGTGTGTGTCGAGCAGGCAAGATCGACTTCCTCGACCTCACGCTGCTGACCACGGCACTTTCGAACATTCTGTTCCCTAGCAGAAATTGACACCCCAAATAGCCCAAGGAGGGTGTTTGGGGTTTAGGGTTTAAGCCGTGCAAGTCCGTGCTACAAAAGGGTTTAAACTGTAAACATTCTACCCCTAAGCTCCCCTATAGGGAACTCCAGAAAGTTGGAATATGGATTAATGGTAGGATCCCCTATAATTTACCTTAAAGGGGTTACGATAATGATATTCCAACTTTCTGGCTTCTACTGTAAGCCAACCCTAAACGATTTTGGAAGGTCTGGGTTCGGCATACTTCGAGTCTTTGGGGCTGAGGGCTCTCCCTGGGTTTCAGGGTTTACTACGCACTCCACCTAAATTCCCTTCACTGGTAGGTTTAGGGTTTAGGTTCACTTATAGGTTTAGGGTTCTCCACCTAAATTCCCTGCACTGGTAGGTTGAGGGTTCAGGTTTACTTATAAGGGTTTAGGGCTATGTGGTTTGGAAGGCCTGTTGCCTTCAGCTGCACTTCCGGCACATCTGAGTCATGACTTCCGATCGTAAGGATGAGTTGGTATTTGGGTTGACGTTTCAGTCGGAAGGACTTGGCCACAGTCGTAGTTAACCCTGCGGATAGGAATTGGCATTCCTTTCGCCGACGCAAGTCAATCCTAGGTGCAGAAGTCTTAAATCATCAGATTTCGGGATCTTGGTTCAGAGGCGTCTTCGAGTTAAACTGAAGTAGCCTGAAACCCTAAACGCTCCTATACCCTAATCCTGAACTCAACCCTGAATGCCGATCACCCAAGGGCGCTGCATTCCCTGATGCCATGGTCGGAAGACATAACAGTGCCGTATTTGCGCACACATAGAGGAGTGCATGAGTGCATGAGCCATTATAAAGAACATCAAGATTATGACATCTCATATGACCCAGGCCTTCCAAAATCCTTTAGCTTCAGAATATCAACAAATCATGTCAGGTCTAACCTAAGGCATATTCCGTAGTTATGGGATTTTGCTAGGTCCGGGTTCCACTGCACCCAGACACATGGCAGGCAACCACTTTGAGCAGCAGGCTTTTCAACCCTGAAAAGTAAGCGGTTTGGGAGTTTAGGACCCTGCAACCCTTAACACCAAAGCCCTGAACCCATAAACCTCGAAGCGCTGTGGCTCTGCGGGCCAAAACCCTGCGCCTAAAACCCCCCACGTCCAGGAGTCTCTTGACAATTCTGCCCACCCTGGTTATCAGCTTCATTGCCGTCACCTTCCTAGGCGGGGACCGCCCCCTTGCTGGAGCTGAGGTTTAGGGTTTCGGGTTATAGAGAGGCGTTATTCTAGAATGGCGCTGTATTCAGGAACCCTTCGGAATAACTTCGGTAAGTCATCAGGCCCCTCAGCCCCTTTGCAGGGCTGCTAAAGGTTGTTTTTAGACATGTTTGTGAGACTCTTTCCCCTGTTTCGGAATTTTTAGCAGGCAGGGTAGACTAGTGTCATTTCTAATTTTTGCAGAAATATTTCAAGACATTCCAACTCACCGTTTTAGGGTGTTGGGTTCAGAGCCAGGCTTTACCCTGCAGGAGGACATGAAACCTATAAGGGTACAAGGGTTCTTAAAGGGCCCCTTAAAGGGATCTATAGGGCTCCTTAAAGGGATCCTCCAAGTAGTAGAGTGTAAAAGGGCTCTACTTGGAGGGTCGGGGGACTTAGTAACTGGCTATTTTAGGGACTTATAAGTACCATAACTAATGACCCCAATTAGGGTCCCTTTTAGGGTACTTATAAGTCTGCTTGCTACCTACTTACTAAGTCCCTCGACCCTCCAAGTAGAAGATTCAAACACCATATAGGGATTTACAGCATACCTGTACCCCCCCCCACACAATACAAAGCAGTAGGTTGTGACCCCTAAATTAAATTATAGGGCGTAAACCTTAAAAGAGCAACGGCAGAGAGCGAGAGAGAGATAGAGAGAGAACCCCTAACACAGTAGGTTTTTTGATCCCCAGGTAAACCCTAAGTTAAGCCCCCCAAGCCTAAAACCCTATAGTTCCCTTATAGGCCTTAAACGAGCCCTTATAGATCCCTTTCAAGGAGCTATTCCAGGGCCCTTTCTTTTAAGGGTCCTTTGGTCTTTACGTAAGAGTTGGCCGGTCATTTGAAGTCCGAGATTTAAACTAAACCTGAGTAGATACATTTATAGTTATATACATATATAAGCATATATATATATATAAGAAAATAAATAAGTAAACGTATATCTATGTATATATACATATATATATATATATATATATGTTATGCCCGTATATACACATGTGCAAACGGTTACACACACACACATACATACATACATATATATATATATATAATATGTATGTTTTTGTGTGTATATATATATGCATATATATATATATAGCTGCTGCTTCGGCAGACGCTACACAGACACTTCTTAGGCCCCTAGCTGGTAGAGTTATGTATGGGATGAGACGCCAACACACAGCCTTCAGCAAGAGGGTCTGGCCCAAAGATCCTGGGTTCTTGTGAAGGAGCTTCTTGTCAGTTACAATCCATAATTAAATACCCATCCCTGCTATGGTAACCTAAGCTAATTTCCTAACCCCTAAACCCTGCAGTAACCCTTATAGAACCCTTTGCTATAAATCCATAACGTGTTGTGGTAACTTAAGTTCCTTGTAACAAGAATACCCCCGCCCGGCACGGAGCAAACCTGGCGACTTCAAGAAAGTGCGAACCTAGCCCTTAAAAGCTACCCTTAAATGAATGACTAAAGCCCTATCGTGAATTCCAGAGAGTCGGACGGATTCGGGATGACTGCTGCTAGGATCCCTCAGACTGCATACCCTAAGGGTATCAGGATCAGGGTTTAGGGTTTAGTGTTTATAGGGTTTGGGGTTTAGCGTGCTTTTTGGCTTCTATCCCAATATCATCTTCATCCAAAACTGAAGCCCCAAGGGCTTGAAGTCTTCAACCACCCGGGCTTGGTACGAATAATTGCCTGCTGTTACCATTCTTTAATCCACGGATGTCCTGAGGCTGCCAGGGTCGGTTTAGGAGTTTCAGAAAAGAAGGGGCCCCAAGACCCTAAATAGGGCGTTCATGTTACAAAGTAATTATAAGGTATCACAGATGCCTTGTACTTCGTAATGACTGTCCCATTTTCGTAATGACTGTTCCATTTGGCCACCTTTGATATAAGTGTATTTCACGATTTCTATTATGGGTCGCTTGGTCTTACCCCCCCCCCAAAAAAAAAAGCGCGTTCATTTATCAATGTTGTGTTTAGGGTCAAGGATGTTTTAGGAGAGGACTCTACGCAGGCTGCTAAAGGGCTGAATGAGGGTTTCACCAGGGCTCTATAGGGCGGTTTGACCCTAAACCATAAACCCTGAGGTGGCTTCGGGTTCTGGCAATGGGCTTCGGGTTTACATGGGTCGCGGCTTATAGCCAGGACTCCATGGCTTAGGTGCTTGGGTTTAAAGTGCACCCTAGCCCTAAATAACCTACCTCTTTATTGACTCATTTAAGGAAATCTTAAGGAAATCAGATGGGATCTTCCGAAAATTAGGGGCACCTTGTTTTGGGGTCCTTATAATAAGGATCCTACTACTTAGGGTGCTATATTAGCATCCACTATTTTCGGGAACTCCCAAAATAAGGAGTCCCAAAAAGTGTAGGCTTCATAGGCCGCCCTAAACCCTAAACCCTAAACCCTAAATCATAGGCCCTAAACCCTAAACCCAGGCCAGGCAGGACATGAGGGTTTCCGATTCTTTGGGCCAGTTTTTGGCTCGCCGTTTCGAGTTTAGGCTTGGAGTTTGCCATCCCTACGTCAAGCAACCTAAGTTCCCATCCTATCCAGGACCCCCCCAAGTGCCCTTTAAAGAGCTCTGACATTTCTCATTAAGATGTAATTTGGGGCCAGAATAAAGGGTAGTTGGGGGGTCCAGGTTGTGAGCAATGACAAGAACGAATATTAACAATAATAGTAAAAGTAATGGCAATAGTAGCTGCAACTAATGTCAGACACAACCATCAGCTCTCCCCGTCATAAGCTCTAGATGTTTTGACGCCTCCCGTTCCGAAGCTGAAGCCGTGCATCGTTCACGGTGTCCAACATGTCGCTCGCTGTGGAAGTATCATTGCTCAGTGGCAAGGTTACCACGGTGAGCGCTGCTTCGCACGAAGAGGTGAAATCTTTGATACTTCGGGCGCAGAGTGCGCTTGGGGTCAGAAAAGGGCGGCTGGTGGATTCATCTGGATGCATCCTGGACGCATCTGCGCTGATCGAAGATTGCAAGGTCCGACATGGTGATAGGCTGATGCTTCACCTAAGCCGAGTTCAAGTATGTGCCACCGACTGCGCGTTTGCTGCCATTGCTGGTGACGGATCCGTCGTTGCCTGGGGCCAAGCCGATTACGGTGGTGATAGTAGTTCAGTACAGGTTCGGCTGAAGAATGCGCAGCATATCCAAGCCTCCAGCCGCGCTTTTGCTTGCATTTTGGGCGACGGATCTGTCGTCACCTGGGGTCATCCCGAGTTTGGTGGTGACAGTAGTGCTGTGCAGCATCAGTTGAGGAACGTGCAGCAGATCCAAGCCAATGACCGTGCTTTTGCCGCCATTCTTTGTGATGGCTCTGTCGTGACCTGGGGACATGCCGACTGGGGTGGTGACAGTAGCGCGGTGCAGAGGAGCTTGACGAGTGTATGGCAGATCCAAGCTTCTTACGGAGCTTTTGCAGCTATCCTTGGCGACGGTTCGGTGGTGACCTGGGGACATGCACTCTTCGGTGCTGACAGTAGTGCTGTGCAGCAACGCCTGAAGAGCGTGCAGCAGATCCAAGCCTCTAACAGAGCTTTTGCTGCTCTTCTTGGAGATGGATCTGTCGTCACTTGGGGTCCTGCGGACTATGGTGGTGACAGCAATTCCGTGCAGCCTCAGCTGAAAAGTGTGCAGAAGATCCAAGGCTGCGGTCACAATAGTCATGCTTTTGCTGCAATTCTTGGTGACGGCTCCGTCGTGACTTGGAGTTCTGCTGTGTCCGGGGGCGACAGCAGTGCTGTGCAGGATCAGCTCAAGAATGTGCAGAGCATTCAAACTACTGGCTTCGCTTGTGCTGCCATTCTTGGCGACGGTTCTGTGGTGACATGGGGTCATGCCCAATACGGTGGTGACAGTAGTGCGGTGCAGAGTAGGCTGAAGAACGTGTCAGAGATCCAAGCCTCTCACGGGGCTTTTGCTGCTATTCTTGGCGACAGCTCCGTCGTGACATGGGGGCATTCACTCTTTGGTGGGGATGCCGGTCCTGTGCGGGATCAGCTGAAGACTGTTCAGCAGATCCAAGCCTCTGGCAATGCTTTTGCTGCCATTCTTGAAAATGGATCCGTTTTGTCGTGGGGGTCTGATGGCAGCGGTGGTGATAGTAGTGCTGTGCAAGCCCAGCTCACGAATGTGCAGCAGATCCAGGCTTCTCGTGGTGCTTTTGCTGCCATTCTTGGAGATGGATCTGTTGTGACCTGGGGCTCTGCTAACACGGGTGGCGACAGTACAGCTGTGCAGGATCGGCTGTAGCCGTAAATCGCTGCCAGATCACGCTAACTTCGAAGACCAAACAAGAGTCCACGCAAGAAGCAAATGTAAGAAAACATCAGGAGACCCCTGAATGGTTAATATAAGGGCCTTAATAATTAGAATAGGGTTGAATAGGGTTTTGGGACCCATTATACAATAAGTACAGTAAGGAACCTCCTGAGTCCATTCTGTCACGGATGTTGCTTCCGGCGTCCTGCTCACGGGTTGAAGGCTTCAAGCTTGTGGGGGAAAGGCATTCTACCTGCGTGAGAAGACGCCTGAACCCCCACTAAAGCATGCTGTTCAGTGCTCCATGGCATATACAGCCCTACCACAACTCACAGACAAACTTTCGCAGCGCTGCAAGACTTCGCAACAAGATGTGCAGTGCTTGCCAGGGCCGCTCTCCAACATCTTCTATGCCGCCATGGAGACTTGGGTCTGAGATCTACATGGGAGTTTCCGAAAATAGTGGTACCCTATTTGGGGGTCCTTATAATAAGGATCCTACTATTTTGGGTACTATATAAGGATCCCCTATTTTCGGAAACTCCCACATGTGGGTGGTTGTCAAAATTAGGGTCCCTTTCTGGGTCCTTAATATACTATTACGGCACCTAGTATTTAAGGTACCCCAAAAAGGGACCATAATTTTGACAAGTACCCACATGTAAAAATGCACGCATACCCTATGCGTGCAGGGACCTCATTATTAGGTCCTCCAGGGGTCTAGGGTCCTAACCATAAGGTCCTTGGATGCATAGGGATACTTATCCCAGCAGATTCCCGAATGGGAGTTTCCGAAAATTTGGTGTATCTTATTTTGGGGTCTTTAATAAGGATCCTATTACAAGAGGGTACTAGGGTCCCCTATTTTCGGAAACTCCCAAATAGGGGTTCGAGAGAGCACCACGATGCCCATGATGACCACCACGACCAAAACAAACAGGACCAGCAGGACCATCACAAGGACCATGACGACCAAGACAACCACGAAGACCAAGACCACCTCGAGGAGAGCAAAAAGAGAGGGGCAAAAGCAGGGCAATGGTTTGAACTTACAGTAGAAGCCCAAAAGTTGGAAACCCAATAGCCTCAGTCCTTAAGAGTAATGTAAAGGGAATCCCAGCACTATTTGGCCTGAATCCGGTTTCCAACTTTATGGAGTTTACTGTACAATGAATCAGGCTCTCTTGGGGGACCTGGCCGGCCGGATCTTATAACAAATCAGGATGTGAGCGGGATCTATGCACCGAGAAGGTTTTTCTCTTTACAGGCAATGTCCGTCATGATTCGTGTGTGCCACATTGTTTGGGCAAATAGCAGCCGTGATGATAACAGCGATCGCGGTAACCAAAGCCTGTTAGCTCCAATGTAGGAGTTTCGGAAAATTAGGGGTACCTTATCTGGGGGTGCGGTCCCCCATTTTCGGAAACCCCACACAGGGTGCCATTAGCTTGGGGAGTTGAAAGGGGGGTTCAAGTCCCGGGAGACGAGTTTGGGCATACGGCATTCGGTGCTTCGAGCAAGTAGGATCAAGCAGGGATTCCTTTTTGGGGATCGTTGTATGCAGGATCTACTCCAAGACACGAGTTTGGGAGTCGTGGACGCCTGTGTGATCTTCTACCGGCCTTCGTTGGCCCTTCAGCCTGAAGGCGAACATGCCCTCATACCCGCCCCGACACAAAAGTTTGAAACATGCCGGGCACGAAATTTGCTCAGCCAGAGATAGACGGGCAGCAACGAAGCCAGGGTCGTTTGCTTAGCCAAGAGAACAGGTCTTCGCAATCCTCGGAGCGCGCGTATGGTGACGTTCTCGTTACAGAATTTGAGTTAAGTCACCACAAGAAGGAAACTATACTATGAGTGTATAGATGCCTTTGATTCGCCGATGATTGTGACTTAACTTACAAATGAAGTTCCTCGACATTGGACTACTTCCAAAGCCCAGGAGAGCAACATCAACGCACCTTGGCTTCGAAAGGGCAGTTCAAGGCTTGCTGCTGACAAGGTTTTTGCGACCCTTTTCCACCTGTGTGTAAGACAGGCACGTATGCTTCGTCGAGTCTTTATCGCCTTAGCAACTGAGTTGATAAACTTATAACTCTTTGGAATAATGAAACCCTCTTGAGACTGAAAGTTTAAGCTTTTTGGGACTTATAACCTCGGCAGCTAAGATTAGTTACGGGTTTTCAAGTCGCAATGCAAGTATGCCTGAGCTTGCTTGGTTACGACACTACTTTTTGCCTCGTGTGACATGGGCCAATTGTTGCAAGCTCACCAGTCAAGCTCAAGCCTGAAACCCGACGCACAAATACACCAAGCACTACACCTGAACACCACATGAGGATTTCGTGCCACAAGACCAGCTGAATCATAGGACTCTCGAATGTTGGTGGCGTTGTACTGTAGTAGCAGTAGGAACTATAAATGTCGAACGCTGATCACTGTGGCGCTCCTCCGAAGTGAAGCAGACCAAAAGAAGTATAGGGCCTTCATGATTACCTTCACCATTTTGGGGTTTCCTTATTCTAGCAAGAATATGATATGCACCAAAACCCTGTTCTAATATCGTTAAGGCCCCTATATTGAACTCAGCAAGTCGGGCTTTTCGGGCGGGTTGAGGTGTATCGGCATCAGAGCTACATACCTCTCACAAAAGCCACACGGTCGAAGGGAGGGGTGTAGGGGGCTTTATAATGCCCATAATAAGGACCTAATAAGGCTTCTATTTAGGGAAGTATAGTCCCCTACCCCCCATTCCCTTACCCCCCTAAGGGTCTCTATAGAGAGACTCGAATATCCCTTAGTTCAGGAAATACCCTAAATCATATTTGGGATCCTACTATAACCTAAGGAAGTACAGTCCCCTTCCCCCCCTGCTTAAAGGATCATGGGACTTAGTAACTGGGGTTATAATTAGGATAACTACAGTTATAATTACTTATAACACCACTTAAGGTACTTATAACCTTACTTACTAAGTCCCATGAACCTCCAAGTAAGGGTCCCTATGACACAAGGTGGCGCTAGACTGCCGATCGATGATCACCCGGCTCATGACCAGCGAGGCCTCACTTTTTTCTGGTGCTTTGTTCAGGTTTTAGGGTTTGGTAGAGGTTTAGGGTTTAGGGGTTAGGATTTAGGATTTAGGGTGTAGGATTTAGAGTTTTAGGGTTGAGGAATTAGGGTTTAGGATTTAGGGTTTTAGGGTTTGGGAGGGCCGAGTTTAGCAGGTTCTGATCTCAGGGCCCTAATATCCTAGACAAAGTCTTACCCCTAAGGTCTCATGACAGGCCTTGCAGACTCCAGGCCCTACATATGGGTGGTTGTCAAAGTTAGGGTCCCTTTTTGGGTACCCTAAATATTAGGTACCGTATTATATGAAGGACCCAAAAAAGGAGCCCAATTTTCACAACCACCAATATACCCCCAACCATCTTACTATTGATATTGGAGGAGCTAAGGAGCCAGGGATGATGATAATCCCTACTAAATAAGGAGCTAAAGAGCCAAGGGACCCCCCCCCAAAACCTACGTGTAAAGGCCGCTGTGTTAGAGCTCGTACAGCAAGGCCGTGCGGTACTCGGAGACAGCCACTCGAAAGGGGGTACGGTTGATGATATAAATCCTGCAGTACCCATAATAAGGAATATACCATAATTCCCATAGTTTAGGGTTCTTAAGGTAATGCAGGATTTATATTAATATCATCAACAGTAGAAGCTGGAGGATTTAGGCTAAAACCCTGGCCGAAACACAAAATGGACATACAACAACACGACGAGCCGAGGGCCCAAGCAAACATTGACAGGTTTTGCTTTGCGTTTTTGTGGCGTTGGGTTGCTTCTTGGTTTGTAGCCTTTGCATGTTCATTGCCGGCTCAGGAATTGCTTACGGGTAGGGGCTGCAGGATGAGGGGAACCATCCGAGTGTAACACGCCCCAAGTACCCAGCTATTCTTGAAGTTAGAAATGAAAAGCAAAAATGTATGTAAAGTAGACCCATGTTTTTGACACTGCCGGTTCTGAAGCTGCACAAGACTTGCGGTGCGCAACATGTCGATTGCTGTAGAAGTCGGGCTGCTTAGCGGCAAGACAGCTGCGGTGAATGTCGCCTTGGATGAAGAGGTGAAGTCTTTGATACTTCAGGCGCAGAGTGCACTTGGGGTCGGAACGGGACGGCTGGTGGACTCATCTGGGTGTATCCTGGACGCATCTGCACTGATCAAGGATTCCAAGATGAAAGATGGTGATGTACTGACGCTGCACATAGGCCGAGTTCAAGCTTGTGCCACAGAACGCGCTTTTGCTGCCGTTCTCAGCGATGGATCTGTTGTGACCTGGGGTGATGCTGCATCTGGTGGCGACAGTAGTTTAGTGCGGCATCAGTTGAAGAATGTGCAGCAGATGCAAGCCACGTACAGCGCTTTTGCTGCCATTGCTAGCGATGGATCCGTCGTGACTTGGGGTTCTGCTGGCGATTGTGGTGACAGTATCGCTGCGCAGCCGCATCTGAAGAACGTGCAACAGATCCAAGCCTCTGAACAGGCCTTTGCTGCCATTCTGGGCGACGGATCTGTCGTCACCTGGGGTCATCCCGAGTTTGGCGGTGACTGTAGTGCTGTGCAGGATCAGCTGAAGAATGTGCAACAGATCCAAGCCACTCGGCGGACTTTTGCTGCCATTCTCGCCAATGGATCCGTGGTGACCTGGGGTGATGCTGTTCGTGGTGGTGACAGTAGTGCTGTGCAGGACCAGCTGGCGAATGTGCAGCAGATCCAAGCCTCTGGCAACGCTTTCGCTGCAATTACGGGAGATGCATCTGTCGTCACCTGGGGACATGCCGAGTATGGCGGTGACTGTAGTGCCGTGCAAGCTCATCTGAAGAATGTGAGACAGATAATAGCCTCTCGGCGGGCTTTTGCTGCTGTTCGTTTCGACGGTTCCGTCGTTACATGGGGTCCTGCTGCCTATGGCGGTGTCTGCGGCGGTGTGCCGGGCCAGCTGAAGAACGTGCAGCAGATCCGCTCTTCTGACTTTGCTTTTGCTGCAATTCTTGCAGATGGATCCGTCGTCACCTGGGGTCGGTCAGAGTACGGTGGTGACTGCAGCGCTGTGCGGGACCAGCTGGAGAATGTACAGCAGATCCAAGCCTCTCGCGGTGCATTTGTTGCCATTCGTGCGGATGGTTGTGCTGTGGCCTGGGGTTCTGCTGGCAGCGGTGGTGACTGTAGTGCTGTGCAGGACCAGCTGAAGAATGTGCAGCAAATCCAAGCCTCTGGCAACGCTTTCGCTGCTATACTTGGAGATGGATCTGTTGTCACCTGGGGTTTTGCCGAGAATGGTGGCGACTCTAGTGCCGTGCAGGCGCGGCTGAAGAACGTGCAGCAGATCCAAGCCTCTCGCGACGTGTTCGCTGCCATCCTTGGTGATGGATCAGTGGTCACATGGGGTTATGCCGAGTATGGCGGTGATTGTAGTGCCGTGCAGGATCAGCTGGCGAACGGGCCGCATTGAGCTCTCATGATGGCCACTAGGCTGGCGGCAGCACACCCCAAACCCGAAACCCGGTATTGTGAATCCTTGCTTGCCATGTGTGAGTATCAAGAATCCCTATATGATGGTACCCTGAAAGTAGCCCTTAAGGGAGCCGGAAGAGGGACCCTTCAAGGAACCCTCATAGCAGCTCTGACAGGAGCCCATCAAGAGACCCTTAAAGCAACCCTTTCAAGAAACCTGAGCCTTAATCTTAAAGGAATCCTTGAGGAAGCCCGTAGGAGCCCGTGGAGCAACTCCCAGGGGCTCTTTCTAGTTTAGGGTTTAGTGTTTAGGGGTTTAGGGTTTAGGGGTTTAGGGTTTAGAATTCTTTGCAAGTATCAGGGTAAGAATCCTAAGTGGGTTTGTGAATCAGGTGCCGGACGGGTTAGAGGGCATCCTAAGTGGGTTTGATAAGGAGTCTACCCTACACCCCACACTCAATTTCAAGCACTCGCCCAGAGTTGCCACAACCGACGTGTTTTGGCAGCAATTGAAAATCAAGCGGCTGGATCGTGCGACATTTAGCATTAGAGATTACGAGCTGTGCCAGGTGCTGTCTATGTAACAGAGACTGCATTGGGTTTCGGATCTTTTTGCTTGGGATTCGCTCGTAGCCGTAGCTGGCCTCGACAGCTCCGTAGTCGCCCCCTCCGAGTCGTTTGATATGGGTTTAGGGTTTAGGATGTAATTAACGTCGGTTTTGTCCTCGAGAGAGTGTTCCAGTGCTGGCTCGAAGCTTCATATGGTTCAGGTAGAACGACATCTGGGTAACAGACCTTCTCCCTTCGCAAGGGGTGTTCGAGGGATCCTACCTACTACTAGTGAATGCCCTTAAAGAAAGTTTGAAAGAACGGCAGTTTATGAATCATGGGTTTGTGCGTATTCACATGTACAATGAACCAGCTGTATTCAAGACATGCACAGCTCCGCGAAGACCTTGAACTCTGACTTCCGCAGTACCCTTGCGAGGCCTGAGACCTTAAGCAGAAGATTATTGGATTTGCCTGTAGATCCAAACACCGCAGAGTAGTAGGTTATGACCCCTTCATGATAAGGTTATACCACTTCAGGGCTCGGGCTGATTTTCGCTAATTTTGTATCCTAGTCGTGAGTATGGTATGAAAATTTCTCGGAAGAAGATTACGAGGGGTCTCCTGAAGCTCATCCTAAACCCTAAACCCTCAGGCAAAAAAGCCTAAACCCTAAACCCTCACTGAAAAAGCCTAAACCCTAAACCCTCAGGGAAAAAAACCTAAACCCTAAATCCTAAATGAAGAAGCCCAAACCCTAAACCCTCAGGGAAGAAAGCCTAAACCCTATCAGGAAAAACGCCTAAACTCTAAACCCGCAATGAAAAAGCCCAAGCCCTAAACCCTAAGCCCTTAACCCCTAAACTCTAAACACTAAGCCCTTAAACCCCTAAACCCTAAACTCTAAACCCTAAGCCCTTAACCCAAGTCCCAGAGCTTCAGATGTCCCAGTCGGTTCGGGCCATGCCCTCAAGCCTGATACGGTTGATGATGTAAACCCTGGGGTTCCTTTAGAGGGATCAAAAAGTGTCCCTTTTAAGGGGTTCCTTCAAGGGATCTGTATGTGGTTTAGGGTTGATGATATATATCCTGCAATACTAGTACCCATAATAAGGATCATGCGAGAATTCCCATAGTTCAGGGTCCTTAAGTAATGCAGGGTTTATATCATCAACCGTATGTAAACTCTAGTCCGACCCCTTAACCCAAAACTTGACAAACGTGCCGGCTCAAGAGCCTTGTTTCGGTGATACTCGGCCGTGTGTGGTGGAGAGATTGATGCTACTTGTTCTGAAGTTTCATAGCACTTTCCTTGTGCAGCATGGCGTACCTGTAGAAGTTGGACTGCTCAGTGACAGTGGAAAGCCAGCGACCGCAAATGTCGGAAGCCTACAAACATGCGTTCAGTGCTATATGCCGTCGAAGCTGAACCTGACAGGCAGCTTTTGAGGAGCTCTGCAACAAGGAGGCACCAATGTCGGTGGTGGCTTCGGCGGTCAGGGTGTTGTAGGTTTTTATATTTTAGGGTTGTGCTGTTTATTTATAGGGTTCTCTGGCAATTCATCGCCGGATATAATCGGCGATGGGATTCTAACCCTGAAGCCCTGAAGCCAAAACCCAACCCTAAGCCCTATGAATGCAGCCCCGGTGGATTGTACCACAAGGTTCCAGAAGATGGCCTAGACCCCCAACCCCGAACAGAGCCCTTAACCCCGACCCTAAACCCTAAACCCCAAAATCAAACCGTTTGAACATAACCTTAACCGCGGATCTTCACGTGGCCCCTTCACCCCCCAGCCCTAAAACTTGAACTCCCCTTTTATGAGGGCGGGAGCAGGGTTTTAGGACAAAAGAGCCTACCACCCCAAGCTTGTGTAGGCTTTGGGATTTAGGGTTCAGGGAGTTCCGTGCTTGAAATAGGGTTTAGGGAGTTCCGTGCTTGAAATAGGGTTTAGGGTATAGAAATCCCCCCCCCCGACCCGACCCAGAGAAAACTGCTAAGAGAGGCGGCCTGCGACACTGGGAAGGAGAACAAGTTTACCAGAGGCACTGGGAGCTTTTTCCGTAGGCCTCCTTCGAGGGTTCCTTTATGGGAACTTCTCGGGCCAAGCTATGAAGATCAGGGTTTAGGGTTTTTGTGGGTCGTAGACTGGCTAGACTTGAGTTCAGTTCAAAAAAGGGGTTTTGGGTTTAGGGTGCTATAAGACTCCCTAAGGGTCCATGTACTCATATAGCATATACATTGGCCTTAATGTAGTCCCCATAAACGTACTTTGGGGCTCATGTATCTCTATATGGGTACATGGACCCTTAGGGACTTTCGAAGGGTTGAGGGCCTTCGGGTTTGTGGTTCCGACTTACGGGCTGCTTTCTCACGGTCTCAGAAGGGATGTGTAGGCTTATGTAAGGGTGCTAGGGATGTGTAGGCTTACGTAAGGGAGATAGAAGGCCCTATCAGGATTTGCAAGTTCCCAGAAGCTCCCCAACCTTAGTTTAAAGAGTGTAATACTCAAGTATGGAGCCATCCTTCATATGGCTTTAAAACTGATACTCCCTAACGAAAGGTTCTGGAGTCACCGGGCTCCAAGCAAACTTTAGGCACTTTTGGGACGTGCAGGGTTGCAGCGGAGAGGGTTTTTTGCAGGCATATAAAATGGGTGAGAGCACGTAAGGATGAACTTTACAGGTCCTAGGTGAACCTGTATGTTTCGAGCTATATTGTGGTGCCATGTTCTTGTTTTCTAGTTCGGAGTTAGGTATGGGGCCTGAATTGGGCCTACTATGCAGGGTTTGCTCACAGTTTGCTTCGAGGGGTTTTGGTATGTCGATGGCTCGAGATAGACTGTCAATGTCCCAGTGTGCATCTGGGAGTTTTCAAAAATAGGGGACCCTGATATAGTACCCTAAAAAATAGGATCCTTATTATAAGGACCCCAAAATAAGGTACCCCCAATTTCCGGAAACTCCCATCTAGCCCCAAATCTGTAAACCCCAGCATGTGCCGTGGAAGCCATGTCTGATAAGACTGCGTTCCACAGGTGTAGATGTGGGAGTTTCCGAAAATTAGGGATATCTTACTTTGGGGTCCCTTTAAAGGGGTACCATAAGGGTACTATAAGGGTTTCTTTAAAGGGCCCTATAAGGGTTCAAAATTAAGGGTACCGTATTTTGGGTCCTTATAATAAGGATCCTACTATTTAGGGTGCTACATTAGGGTCCCCTATTTTCGGAAACCCCCATGTAGACTCATCAGGATTTACCAGGAATTTTCTTCGATTGTCACTCTTATACATGTACCATACTATGCACCCTAACCCTGTTATACTTACCAGGGTGCCTAGAGGGTTGCGCTGATTCGGCGCCTTTACGTTTTGAGATCCGAGCAAAGGCCTTGAGAATGTAGAAGTTGGGTTTTAGGTTCAGCCGGTGGGCTAGGCATTTGTTCTTGGTCGGGTTCCCTAAACCCGTTGACCCAAAAGCCCCCAAACCCCACGCCTAGACCCTAATCCCAAAACCTTAAACACTTTCGGTATGAACTTCCGTTCGCCAGCTGCACCCCTGCATGATCGCATCTTAGATGATGCCGGAGGCCACATGAAGCAGCTGATGGACGAGATCCTCAGATTTCTGGCCGGTGAGACTGGCAAGCTTCTTCATGTTCGTTGACTTCGGTTTTGGTATAGTTTACAGTGATAGAAACCCTAAGCCCTGCAGCAAGCTTACTAGAAAGATTGGGTAGTTCTGCAGTTCGAAAGAGGCCCAACAACAAAAACGAACAGCGGTGGGGTATGGCTACATGTTCCACACTGAAGCGCTGTAACAAAAAAACGCATGGAGCTTGCGCTAGATGCCCTTCCCGGCCAGGTCTCAGTACCTAGGCTTTTGAATTTAAGGTTCCGGAGTTCAGTCAAAAAGGAATAACCACCCTAAACCCTACTTGGGGATCCCAAAACCTACCATTTTAAGGGTTAGACCCTGTAGTTAAGAGGTCATGACCGACTAGTCTGTAGGGTCTGGGGATACAGGTAAACCCTATAACTCCTAAAGTTCTGTATATCTCCGGCTCTCTCCTCGATTTTCACGAACGCCAGCGAAGGCAGGACGGCTTTTCCTGACTGCCCACGGCCTGCTTCATGTAACAAGGGTACTATTGGGGATCCTTTAAAGGGGTACTATAACGGTATGATAAGGGTTCCTGTAAAGCGTTGGATAAGGGGACAGTTTGTTTCGGCAGTGCCTCGCAGCATCGTTTTTGTATTGCCAGAGGTGTCACCAGCTTGACACAACGATGTGTGATGGTAACTGTCACTGCGGGTCCCTGTATGTGGATGGTACGTAACAGTATATGCTTAGCGATTCCTACACAGGTATTTCCGGGTCAACCTATATACTCTATGGGGGTACCCTAAGCGTCCAAGTATTCCCTACTACAGGACTTTGGGGCCATGTTGGGTACGAGAAACCATAAATGAGGACCACTTGGACCCTTACTTTGAGGGTCGGGGGACTTAGTAATTGGTTATTTTGGGGACTTATAAGTACCATAACCCAAATTTAGGTCCCTTTTAGGGTACTTACAAGTCTACTTATTACCTACTTACCTACTTACTAAGTCCCCCGACCCTCCAAGTAGGGGTAATCATGCCCGCGCTGCCTGAGCCCATCAGGAAAGGAAGAGGAGCTGCAGGACACGCTCGAACTTTCATTTTCTGGTCATTTTGGCTTATGCACTTTGTAGGTTTGAGCTTCAAGGCTTTAAGGTTCGAGGGTTAACCGTTGCTTTCTGGGTTTGGCCTGTGCACTTTGCAGGTTTGGGCTTGAAGGTTATTGGGTTATAGGGTTTCTTTAAGGCTTCAAGGGACATAGTGCTATTGTCCAGCTTCAACAGGTTGGGTGTAGGGCGGGGGGTGGGGGTGCCTTTTGCGACGTGTGGGGGTCTGCATCGTGGAAGGATTGTAATTTAGAAAACTAGCCAAAACCCTCAGCCCTGAGGCCCTAAACCCAAAACCCTAAAGGCCCTAAGACTACCCCCCAAAACCCTAGGCCCTAAACCCAAAACCCTCCTGAGCGCTTTTCGAAGGAGGGCTTTCATAGATCTCTCCGAGACTTCGAGAGTTGCAGCAGGGTCTTGACGCGGTTTGGGCTTTGAGTTTGTGCCTTCCGAAGACCTTTATGTATGTGCATGTGTAAATAAACCATATATATATATATATATATATATATATACATACATACGTATATGGCAGAGAGAGAGATGCATACATTCACAGGAAGAATGTCCTTATGTATATACACGTATACACATCTGTACTTATCGGCTGCCAAAGCATGTTTACCATACTATTCTGAGGTATACTATGCCTCGACTATACCTTGGCCAGGCTCCCGTGTCGTTGTCTCGAATCCGTACAGACAGGTAATTAGTCGTTTGGCTCAGTTCGTCTACAATGAACCCCCCAAATGTTGGAATATCAGTCAAGACATGAATAATGACCAGGATGATTGATTAGTGCTAATAAGATTCCTTTAGACTTTCCCATGAACCCAATATCCGCACAAAGGCCGGCATTGGATTCCGTAGCTGATGTTCACCCGATCAAGACACATCGTATCTCAGACACAGCACAAGCCGGAGCAACGAGGCTCCTAACAAGGCACCAAAACCCCAAACCCTCTTAGCGTGGTCAATCCTGATAAAGTTCAACCAGCACCCTTATCAGAGCAGTAGCCAACATAACAAGCACTTCAAATCGCGGAAAAACCCGGATCAAAACGCTGCACACAAGCCTCAAGAAACCCAAAAACGAAACCCTAAACCCCAAGCGTCATCAGGACCGCGAGAAGGACCATATCGTGGAGTTCCTGATGGCCCCTTTGCTGGAATTTTTTGTGCTTCAATAAACCGGGTTTAGGGCTTCGGCTTCTGTAGTGGTTCTTTAAGCAGTTTAGGGCTTTGAGTTCTGTGACGGTTGGTCAAGCTTTCGTAAACCCTACTACACACCCTCAGGCTTCCCGGCATTCGGAGCTTCTTGCGTACGGTTGCCAGCTCCATTCTCCGAACGACTAGCTTATAGGATACAGAAGACGTCCCCCACGGTCTGAAAGCCTTTGCACATTGCTCCACCGCCAAAGTTGTTGCATCTTGACCTGTGTTTCGGGGAACTTCAACAGGCACAGCAATGCAAACGGTAATAGCAGCGCGCCCGTTCAGATCTTGAGAGTGTTTTGCCCCGAGAGTCAGGGCCAGAGCTATCCTTTAAATAGCCTTAGGGGTACTTAGAAATAATGTTCAATTTTTGGCTATTATAAACTCAAGAAACAGCTAAAATTATAATTTTCGCTAGGGTTCTAAGTTCAGTATAGTAGCCGTGCTATGTCATGCCGTACCGGCAAGAGTGTTGATGGTCAGGGCAGCTGTCGATGTCATCAACCACCCCAGCCCCTAAAGCCTAATATAGGGGCCCAAATAGTTACCTATACTATTACTATTCTGGGGGTCCCTTATTATAGTCATGATATAGTGAGCCCCAAACCCCTATTCTAATTGCTAAGGCCCCTATATTACGCTAAGCCCTACTCAACCCACTCCTATCCTGACTGTCTGGTTCTTAGTAGAAATTGGATTGTGGAGACCTTTTCTGGGGATAAGAACCAGACAGCCTATCCTGAGGAAGAGCTCCAGAACGAGGACAACAGCAAGCTTGTGGACAGAATGAAGCTTCTCGATTCGAAGCCCGCGATCCAAAAGCCGTAAACCTCAACCCTTTAGACAGCATCTTTTCTAGAATACGTGATAACTATAATACAATGAAAGTATAGTGTAAAATGCCACGTGTACTGAAACTGAATTAGTTTCAACGCCTTCAAGGAGCCTAGCACGACAAGCCAAGCTCGCAGACGAGGTACATGAAGTTACACCACGCGCATGACCACGTGCAGCTGGACGATGTGGTGCAGCTCTTCGATCACGATCGGCAGAAGGGCATGCTCGAGAGGATTTTTCGTGACGACGACTTCCAGCAGAAGAAGCAGCAGTACCAACTGAAGAAAGAGGTTTCAGAAGCGAGAGACATGCAAAGAGCACCGCCAGCAAAAGCAGAGAGCACAAGGCAGCAGCCCATACTGAGCAGCGCGATCGGCAAAGGCGAAGATATCGGCCGTCCTGAGGCGGGCTGTCATTCCATCCAGCGTCAGGGTCAAGGCCTTATACGGTTTTGATGTTGGACCTTTACCCAACTGACGGTCCGAACGTAGGAGAGATATGTCAGGGTCTTGGTGTAGGAGGTGAGGATTTAGGAATGTAGGAGTTGGTGTTCGGAGTTCAAGGTTAGGGTTTCAGGAAGGTTGAGCTAGGGGGCCCAAACCCACTTTTTCAGTTCCAGAATACAGCATACAAACCCAATGTCGCACTCGAAAGGAGATGTTTTGCACTGAGCGCTACAACAAAGTAAATTATCCATTATTAGCATTTTACAGGGCGCAACCCCGAGAATAGCACGAAGGTGTTCAACAAGGCCTTTCGCAGGCCACAGGAAATCCCCGAAGCCTAAAGCCCTGTAACGTCCTCGTAAAATGAAATGCTTCTTAGACACCTGTGAAGAATCTGAGCCCTAAACCCTAGGCATCAAAACGCCTCGAACCCTTAAACCTTAAGTTTTCACACCTAAACCCATAAATCTTACCTGTATCCCCAAACCCTACAAAATAGTAGGTTATGACCCCTTAGAGGGTCTGACCCTGAAAACCGTAGGTTTTGGATCCACAGGTATACCCTAAACCCCAAAAGCCTATACCCCTTGTAGGAGCCCTTTAAGGGAACCCTTATCCACACCCAAACCGATAAACCCTAAACCCCCAAAAGAGCCGAATGCCTCGGAGGCTAGTGCAGCCTCGAACATGCCGACGGCCAGAGCCTCTCCAGAGGAGATTGTCCCTTGGATGACTCCGGCTTAAGGAGTTTGTTGTTATAGTTCTGTAGTTTTTTTTGCTGCTGCATTCGAAGTTTTGTTTTGATGTTCAGGGATTCGGCAAGATTTGTTAATGAAGTTGCCTAGATGACTTGAGGTTTTTGCGGTCGAGGCTGCTTCATGCTCTAACATCAGCACTTGGCACTTGGCCCTGAGATCCTGATATAGATCACGCAAGGATGCCCCGCATTGGAATGTTTGGGTTTCAATACCGTCGTGGGCTTGACGATTCTCAGCGTTTTTTTTTTTGAGATTTGAGCGTGTCCATGTGGGCTTTGGCGAATGTGTCTTGGGTGGTGTCTCCGGGAGAACATGAGAGATAAAACCCTAAACCCTAAACCCTAAACCCTAAACCCTAAACCCTAAACCCTAAACCAGATAATATTTTGGGAGACTGTATGGGGATACGGGTCTGGCAGCCCTACTTCGTGAAAGTTGGGCAGCTTTGCAGGTCATAAGTAACGTAGGCCCGTGATACCTGAATCATACGTCACTCCTCCATTTTAGGCATGCCAATCTTTCGGCCCACTAAAAAAGAAAGCTTGAGTTCGTGGAGAGCACTAAGCAGACCCTAAGGGTCCATGTACGCATATAGAGATACATGAGCCCCAAAGTACCTATATAGGGACTACGTTAAGGCCAATGTATATACTATATGAGTACATGGACCCTTAGGGAGAACCAAGCTTCAATTACTCCTGAGTTGACCGCACGTCTCGTTTGGCAAGGGCCGATGGGCCCATATAGTTGACTGTTTGACCATAGCATAGGAACCCATGTCAATGTGTAAAGTCGCAGCCAGAATAATTTCCAGTATTATTCTATAGGGTTTCTTCTGCTATAATAAGTATATCCTTAAACCGTATTCTATTTATAAAGGCCCCTATGTTACTGGACCCATAGGGTTTGTCAATGGTCGGACGGTCGGGATATGAGATTCACCGTGAACCCTGCATCTCTTAGACAGCCTGGTAGCTCCAAACCCTACCCTCAGGGTCCATGTCCTTGTGGTGTATGCTTCGGGGACTACTTGCAAGCCATAAGCTTATACTTTATGAGTAGATGGACCCTTATGTAGGGCTACGCGATATGCCGGAATCTTCGTGTCCCACCCGCACCCTAGGCTCGGTATGATGTTAAAGTTTGTTTTAAAGCAGCCGTGGTTTGGATGCTGCGTGAGTGTACATGTAGGCGCTGAAGCAAAGGCCTCGTGTCCTAAAGGTTGTTCAGACATGTTCAGAACATGGATCTCAGCGGGGAACAAAAAGAAAGACAAAGCCTGCCCCCCAATCCTACAAATCCTAGAAAATTAGGAATGGGGTTTTGCGGTATGCATGCTATGCCATAGGTGCCGTAATCGTGTGTGGGTGTGTGTGTGTGTGTCTGCTGTACGAGGAGGGTATATTGTTGCTCATTGCGAATGTGGACCCCTGTATCCGATGAAGGTACTCTTCACAGCTGTGCCCTTTGTTACCCCAAACCCTTGACCCAGGGACTGCTCAGAAAGCGCTTCTACAGCTGTCGACCCTGCAGGAACACGTGAAATCCCAAGGAGATCAACCGCTGCGAAATCCTGTATGATGCTGCTTGCAAAAACCCACCTTAAACCCTATAGAATCCTGAAAACCCACCCTTCAAGTGCACAAATTTAAAACCTTACATAAGCACGCGCGCAAAGGCGTTACAAACCTCTTGCAGCGGAAAGCCTCCTCACAGGAATCCTTAAAGTCCGACACTCAAAGAAACCCTAAGCCCTTTTACATTCCCTAAGGGTCCATGTACTCATATAGTATATACATTGGCCTTAATGTAGTCCCTATATAGGTACTTTGGGGCTCATGTATCTCTATATGCGTACATGGACCCTTAGGGATTAAACTCCATAAAGTTGGAAACCTGATTAAGGCCAAACAGAGCTGGGATTCCCTATAGATTCGTCTTAAGGACTGAGGCTATTGGGTTTCCAACTTTTGGGCTTCTACTGTACACCCACAGACCCGGAGGCTCTTACGGTGGCGGTTCCGCCAGCTCCCCCGCCACAGCCGCTCCGTCAACATGGATGCGTCGACCTTCAAGCTGTCGGGTTAAGAGCCTCTAGGTTTCGGCTTAGGGTCCTAAAGGGAAGGTTTATTGTAGTTGATCAACAAGCCCTGAAACCAAAGTGAGAAACAGAGAAAGTTTAGGTCTAGGTGAAGGTTGACTCTGTAGACGGCTTAGGGTTCAGGAGTCAGGGTTTAAGGGTTTATGGTTTATGGACTGTGCCCTAAGTAGTTAACCAAAACTGGTCTGCATTAATCTTGAGGACGTTTGTAGTTTCCGAAACAAAAAGAGCCGGTGTATCATCTTTTGGTCCTTTATCTATACTGTATGGTCGAGTACAGCGTGTAGCATTAAACTTAATCATTAATCAATCTTGCGGAAGTACGGGAGTGAAAAAACCTGCGGTTAGGACGAAAGTTTGACCTAATCCTGGTTTCGTCGAAAACAAGCCCCCCGTTCGCACATACAATCCTAACAAACAGACCTCCCATTCCCCCATACAATCCTGACAAACAGGATCAACCATCGACTCCTCTGGAAGAGTTTAGTACAACTTTAAATCGAGGTAAACCCCATACTCGCTAAACCCTAAATAACCCTTTACAGAACCCTTAATAGATCCCTTTGAAGGATCCCCTGATGTAGTCGTCAACCACTCCGCTGGCCAGGCCCTGTATCTCGCACTTTTCGGTACTCCGCTACTCCGGAAAAACGTCTGAAGACAAGAAAGGTCCAGTAATGTAGGGGCCTTGATAATTCGAATAGGGTCTTGGGGCCCATCATACTCTAGTTATAATAAGGAAATAGTACAGATAATCATTTAGGCCCATTTAGGCCCCGATAGTAGGACAAAATATTGTCCTCCCGATGTGATGGGTTTATGGCCCCCCCCATTGGACGCGATAGTCTTCAGAATAGTTTGTAGTTGGAGCCACCGGTAGTCGTATGAGTGGCATTGACAATGTCGCTTATGGTGGAAGTTGGATTGCTCAGTGGAAAGTCAGCCATTATAAAAGTTGACCAGCAAGATCTGGTGGAAGACTTACAACTTCGAGCGCAGACAGCGCTTGGAGTCGGAAGAGGGCGCCTAGTGGACTCGTTTGGTCGTGTTGTCGTCGCGAATTTAACAGTCAGGGATGCCAAGCTGCAGGCAGGCGATACCCTTACCTTGCATATCGGCAGAGTTCAAGTTCAATCCTCCTCTTTCGCTTTCGCTGCCATTCTGGGAGATGCATCCGTCGCAACCTGGGGTCATGTTGCCTGCGGTGGAGGCAGCGATGCGGTTTACGACAAGCTTCAGAATGTGCAGCAGATCCAAAGCAATCTCCGCGCTTTTGCTGCAATTCTGGGAGATGGATCTGTCGTGACCTGGGGTGATGCTGGCTGTGGTGGAGACAGCAGTGCTGTGCAGGATAGGCTGCAGAATGTGCAGCAGATTCAAGCCACTGACTGTGCTTTTGCTGCTATTGTTGGTAGCGGATCGGTGGTGACTTGGGGTGCTGCCGACCGCGGTGGTGACAGTAGTTCTGTCCAGGACCAGCTGAAAAATGTGCTACAGATCCAAGCTTGTACCAGTGCTTTTGCTGCCATTCTTTGTGATGGCTCTGTTGTGACCTGGGGTAATTCTCTCTGGCGCGGCGCCAGCAGTGCTGCTCGGGATCGGCTGAAGACTGTGCAGCATATCCAAGCCACTACATATGCTTTTGCTGCCATTCTGGCCGATGGATCCGTCGTAACCTGGGGTCAGGCTGGCTTTGGTGGAGACAGCAGTGCTGTGCAGGACCAGCTGAAGAATGTGCAGCAGATTCAAGCGTCGGAGCGTGCTTTTGCTGCCATTCTTTGTGATGGCTCTGTTGTGACCTGGGGTAATTCTCTCTGGGGTGGCAATAGCAGTTCAGTTCAGGATCAACTGAGGGATGTGCTGCAGATCCAAGCCAATGTCGGTGCTTTTGCTGCCATTCTAGCCGATGGATCCGTCGTGACCTGGGGTCATGCTGACTTTGGTGGAGACAGCAGTGCTGTTCAGGACCAGCTGAAGAATGGGCAGCAGATTCAAGCGTCGGAGCGTGCTTTTGCTGCTGTGCTTGAAGATGGAAGTGTCGTGTCCTGGGGCGATGCTGAAGCTGGTGGCGACAGTACCGCTGTGCAACAGCAGCTGAAGAATGTGCATCAGATCCAAGCCTCTAACCGCGCTTTCGCCGCCGTTCTCAACGACGGAGCTGTCGTGTCCTGGGGTGACCCTGAACGCGGTGGTGACAGCAGCGCCTTGATAGCTGAGCAGGTAACCTTTCACTTTGTGGGGTTCGTATAACCTTTGTCATAGTTGGGTAACATTTTTTATATTTTTATGGGTATCTAAACGCAATAAGGAATAAACATGTTCATTTTTAATCCTATCCCAACAATGAGTAACCCTAGCCTAATTTAAGGGGTTACCCTTTTTGGCCTAGGCTAAACCCTAAACCTCTAAACCCCAAACCCCTCAACCCCTAAGGTGGTCTCCAGGATTTGAAAACGGTGCGGCAGGTCCAAGCCTTTTCCGGTGCATTTGCTGCCGTTCTTGATGATGGATGCCTCGTGTTTTGGGGTGATATTTGAGGTACTATAGGGCCAAATATAATTACCTGTACTATTTTGAGGGTTCCTTATGTCAATTATAGTATAATGGGCCTCAAACCCAAGGCCTATATTAGTCACAGTAGTGATTTGCCGGACCTGCTGGAGACTGTTCCGTGCATTCACACTGCTGGCCTTGCGACTTTGGGCTATGAATCCTTAGCAGGAGACAGTGCTGGTCAGGATCAGCTGACGACCGTCCAGCAAATCCGAGCCCACGACCGCACTTTTCCTGCAGTCACTGTGGTGATGGTCACTGTGGCTGTGTGGCTGTTCTAGCAGTGCTGTCCATTAACTCTCTAGCAGCTGATTGACCGGCTGCTGGCACAT